AGCCGGCCGTCACCTCACCACCTGACGTCTATGTCTGACCTCGCGTCAATGTCAAAAGGTATCGGTCACGCAGCGATGCCGGAATAAGCAGGCTCGCTCGAACCCCCTGTCGCGGCCGCCGAGTGCCGTTGGCGGTTTGCAGTGGTAAAAATACGCATCACAGAGCCCGTCAAGTACACAGGGCGTTCTAGATGAAACCTCGTTGTCCATGAATTTGCCTTTAATGGACAGGTTTCAAGTCGTAGAGAATGCTGCCACTGTCAAATAGAGCGTCCTGTCGGGCCGGTATCGAAGCATCCGCGCATTGTCTTCGTAAAAATGTGCTTCAACAGACCAGTCTCCATTGGTCCTCGACGTGCCAGGTTCAAGATGGTATTTGATGGAACCGAGAAAGCCGAGGGGTTGCAGGAGCCGCCGCTGATCAGTGTCGCCTCTACAAGGGCGAACGAACCTTTGATCGGGAAATTTTAGAGGTCTGACTGACGGGGCGGCAAGGCATAATGACAAGGATAATGGGCTATCGTCTTGTTTCTTCATGATGCTGGTTGTCTGGCACTTGCCGCAAGTCTGCTTTGGGGTGTAAATGGTCTCGCTTGTTGACTATTTGACGATGCTCGGACTCGTGCGCTGCCCTGGCAATAGTATGTGATTGGGTGAGAATAAAATCAGAATGGCATGGTTTCCCGATTCAGTGAAAAATCGGTCGACGCATATCTCCAAGGATTATCAAACGGACGATATGAGTCAAGACAAATACGCGCTACCGGCATTGGCAGTGAAGATCTCACGAGCAGGTATGCTGATATTCCTTACCGCGCCATGTCGCCCCCAGCCACGGCGCACCGAATTGCTGCATGATAGGCGTTTGCTACCCTGAAAAGGGCATAGTATGTGCTTCTCTGGCCGTCTCGCCGTATCTTCATTTCCTCATCACTTTGTCCATTGCCAACAGCACCTGACACTCGCTTGGATGGCTCCAGTCAGTTTGTCCTCTCCCCTAGCTATGATAACAATGCCCTAGGCGGATATGTCCTTTGCCTCTCTTGCTCGAGTAAATGGCCTTTGACTTGCGGCTTATGTCGCATTTGGTCTTCGGTACTATAATGTTTCAGTACAATAGCACCACCCACTTTGAACCATGATGGCAACAGTGCTATAGTGAATCCTATACCAATAGCTGCCTCGACCTCAACGCATGCTGCGCGCCATGCATCCTGTAACTTGGTCACGCTTCCCGACGAAGGCCTCCCTTGCAGTCCGCCTTGACCTTTGGAAAAGCCCAGGCGCTGATAGTAACTGTAAGGGCTTTCTTTGTTTGCCCCAAAACGGCTTGATGTCTTGCAGCTGCCAGAACCGTTGCAACGGCCCTCGTATGACTCGGAATCCCCGGTATACCCCGCCAGCGCGGCACCACGAACACCATGCTCACGGTGCTGATCTTGACTCTGTTACAGGGGCTCGTTCAGGAAGGGCCAGGCCGATCCGGACGCGATAAACACAAATCGCTCCCCTGTTAATTACCCAGCAAACCGTCCCCGCAAACGTCTCGCAGACGCTGTTGCTCATGTGACGAGCTCCGGCACAGCCCAATGTGGGTGTTGGGCGTCAGGCCCACCATTCATTCAGTTATCCAAGTAATTCACTTCATTGGTCTCCTCTCACCGGCCGGCTTCGGGAAATTGCCCATGCGCAACTGGTCGCGGCGTCTCGTGATGGCGTCGTGAGAGACCCTGCAATCCATACATTCGTCTCATTGACTTGTGTCAGGACTGACTTCTCAAGCGCCTGGATAGACGGAACAGGGGTGACTATATGCTCTACATTGTTGACTTCAATCTCCCACAAGCGAGTCGTCACGTCCACGAAGCCGTGGCCCAGAATCCCTGAGGGGGCGGATATGGGGGGGGATCATGTAAGCATTTTACGCGGTAAGAGTCTGGATTCCGGCTACATCGGCGGTTTTCCAAGGGCTCTGGAGAAAGTCGGAGTGTCGGCATCGGGGCAGAAGGACTAATTTTGCCTCGCCGAGCCGGACCGTTTGGTGCGAATTACACGTACAACCCGGAACGGGACAACTTCCCCTATCTCCCTCATTGCGAGCAACAGGCTCGTTCAACGAATCGTGATTACTGTATTTTCTTTGACCGTCTGTTACTCTGGCTATCTGTATCACACCGGGAAACGAACACGATCCGGAGCCAACTCCACTTCCTGACCGAGGTGGTACGAGATTGGTGTGTAAGATAGTCAAACCCTTGAAAGTTTGCACGGTCAGAGCGGGTGCCATTCATCTCACATTCTTGGAACCAAGATATCACATGCTCGAGTCCCATGAGTATTACAAGCAAGCACCGCTGCGCCCCGCATTATGACTATCTGCCAAACAGTCACGAGGAGCATTGCTTAACCACGGAGGCAACTAGCGGGTCGAAATGCTTGCCTCAAGACAAGCAGCGAGAAAGTATTCGGTACAAGGTGTATCATCCTGCTTGGAGGTCCATGGTACATCGGCGGGGCTTGCAGCATGGTAAGGGCCTCCAGCCTCTTGCTTCCTGACGCTGTGTGTTTTCTTCGTAGGACATTGGGGGATTCGTAGACGCAGATATTGCCTGAGTCATGCCGACTCAGCAGCTAAATTGCGTCGCAGCGCAAATCTGATTGATGATTACTATCTCCCTATTGGGACATGGTTGACACAAACAGCGCCAAATGTTTCTAGTCTCTCATACGTGGTTTATGCAGACTTGATGCGTGGTAGGTATCCACGCTGTCGTTTGTATCAGAACTTCTTACCACTCGTTAGGTCGTTGTATAACGCCAAGTTGCCTGTTACAGGGTGTGCTCCAACACAACACCAAGAATATGACTATATTGAAATCGAACAACCAACAAAGAAGAATCGAACGGTCAAAATAATGAAAAATGATAGTTTCAAGTTGATCTGAAAAGGTGCGCTCATTGGTGTGCTTCGTGTGGGGGTTCGCTAAATGATCACTATTCTCGGCCCATCGAGTCGATCCCGCTGATTAGCAACCAAAGACGCGATGATGCAACCACCAAGACAAGTGATGGAGATCTCAACCACTGTCCACATCTGGCATCAAAGGCTGCTCATTGGCTATCGAGGCCAATTCTACGTCTTTTTGGTGGACACATGCCTGTTGGACCGGTTTCCAGGACCCCGGGTTGCAAGTCCCTTGCGAGGCCGCCTTGCGTGCCTAGGTGCTTGTCAGTTTGAGCAAACAAATGATGACAGGAAACGGGCGTTTGGAGGTCTTGGCGACCCGCGGCGTCTCAGTTGGGCTTTCATGACAGCTTTGCCAGCTTTCCAGGGCGTCTTATCTGTACCGCTTATGGTCAATGGACTCGGTTTTGGTTTGCCGAGATTCCGAGCCAAGCACTCTCTGTGTCTAATCGATCCTCCACAACACCATGCCGGAACGGGGAAGCTCATCGCAGACTGCACAGGTCATGGCAATGAAATCATCCACATATCATGATAGATATGCTGAGAAGTCTATATTTGGCGAAAAAATAGCAAACTTGGCCTCAAACATCAGCCGACGATAGTTTCAGGTGCTATTCACGGTCTGTCAACAAAAGGCGAGCAAAGCAAAATCAATCCAGCTCCGGCGGCGCAGCGCCTCGATCCAAGACAAGAAGTTGCCCCGCTGCTAAAAGCCACGTTTTATTGAAAGGAGTGACATTATCAAACTAAATGGCGATGAGAATCAAAGGGCGTGGCTATAGAAAACGCCACGGGTGAGGGGAGCAGGCAGATGTATCACATAGTACACAGTGAGAGAAGGCGATCCGGCACCCTGGTTGAATACATGATATTTTGCATACAGTCTGCCGATAACTAGTTCCTAAAGACCTTGGCAAGAACTGAACAGTTTTGCCAATGTCCATTGTAAGTGGTTATGTAAGCTTGATTTGCCAAGCATAAGAAACTCTTGGATATGTTCGGTATAGGCTCAGAAGTCAGTGAAATATGGGCAGCATTACTTCTGGCGTAGTTAAGTCATTAAATTAGTAGCGGTGTTTATATGATCCATACATACCATTTGAATGTAGAAGTTGAATAGTCACATGCCGTAAGCTGTGTAGAGCGGCTGTACTACAGCAAATGAGACTTGCCGCAGAAAAAAGTGTACGTTAAGAAGGCGGCTTTACACGCTATGACGACCTCACAAGTATACGCCAGGGGAAACATCGGCAAAGCCTAGTCATGACTATGAGTTGGCCTGGAATGCATCTGGTTTCATATCCAAGTGCAGCGAGAGAATTGTCCCAGTTATACGTATGGTTCTAAAGACTTTAGAGACCACGTGCATTGCGGTATTGAGCACCTTTTTAGTCAAGTAACTCCTTTCTCATATGATTCCCACGCTGTTCCTGATGCCGTCTCTCTGGAATGTTGCCTACAATATAGTTACAAATGAACTTGGGTTGTCAAGAAGGCTGCAAGGAAAAAGTAAAACGCAGATATCTAATATCAGTGACTTTGAGGAAGCGAGAGTTCGGACATGGCTAGTCGTGGTAACCGCTGATCAGCCGTTTGTTTCATGATGGCCAGCCCCCCGGAGAGCAATCGGACGATAGCTGGTCGGAACCTGACTAGTCGGGTAGCAATGGTCCACTGGAATAAGGCAGATAGTGTGCAAGCTGGGCATGTGCTGCTGCTGCTGCAGAAGCGTATAAGAATGCTGATTGACTTGGATCAATGAGTGCGTGATCTTGACAAAACTAGTCGTTGCCTCACAACTGAATTCCAGTTGCTAGTCAGACGATAGAAGATCAACAAGCCTTGTTGAATGTGACATTTTATTTCTACAGCTCTACTAATAGATATGAAAATTAGAGGTATTAAATATGTTGTAACTCTCAAAGCCGATTAGTTCAAACTCGACAGCTTAGGAAGGTCTCGGCAACTATGTTTGGTTAGTTAGCCATGGTTCATGATGAAACGTCCGTGGAGCATACCGAGATGAGGCCAGCTAGAAAGGCACTATGTTCGTTTCCGTTGTGTTCATTTTTGCCTGTGCAAGTGAAATCCTGTTTCGATCCATGTCGTAGACGGCGTACACTGCCTGGAGGAATGGTGCTCCAAGACTTGTGAATGGGACCTCCCTCGAGCCAATAATCTGCGGCATACTGCACTGGCCAGTAGCACCACCCTTCTCAGGAACCATGAGGATACTGAATGGCACGCTCATCTTGACAGTGTCCTGGTTGAAACCAAGGACGAGGCTCATACTGTCGCCCCAGCTACAGGGTACCGGGTTGAGCATAGTCACATCGCCGTCTTTCCGGGTACCAACGCGCAGCTCTCTTGCCATCCTCGTGACCAGCTCGGGGGACAGATCTAAGGCCGGATTGCCCGTATCCAAGAGAGCTGGAATAGGCTGGGGGACGAAGTTGGTCGCTTGTGCAGAGGCACCGGTGCCTTCTCGTCCGCTTACTGACATCGAGCTGAAGCTTACCAGAAACTGCCCAAACTTGCCATTTTCATCCCTGACCAGAGGCATTTCCTGGAGTTTGCCTTCAAACTTGGCCGTATCAATGCCGCCAAAAGTGATCGATCCCTCCGAACCCCCTAATTTGAAAGCGTTAGCCCTGTAGCTATCATTGTCGTTTCTGGACGGTTTTAGCAAGGATTAGGTATTTCTTACTAAAGTCGTTGAGGTATATGCCGAAGGCGTTTCTGTTGATGACCCCCATTTCCTTCATGTGAGCCGGGACGTTCACGTACAGCTTAGCTGTTCCTTCGTTTCCCATGGGTCCAATCCCGAAGACAGAAAAAGACGGTGTATTCGGCGGGATGTACCCGGTCTCCATCAAACCGATCTGGGCGGCCGATACCTGGGAGCCCCCAAGGGTTAACGTTTCTTTGACCATCGGCCCTTTGTAGGATTCCCCGGTACCGAAACTGGTGTCGAGAGCCTGGCCAGCCACTTTCTCAACCCCCTCAGACTGTCTCGGATCGAAAGATCCAAGTACGAGACCGGTTCTGCTCCTGGTACACTGCTGTTCTGGGCTTTTGCAGACGGTACTGCCGGTCTCCGCAGCGATCAGGTCGCTGCTGCCGGTGTCAAGGACCATCCGGACGACCTGAGGGGGGTTTCCGATGCCCACGTCGACCAGGGGGACAATTCCGGTATCGTCACTGTTATAGTGCAAAATGGGCAACTGGACTACCCCAGTTGCCCCTTTGGCTGTCTTTGCCTGTCCATTACCTGCGGGTGCAGAGAGACAAAGAGAGGAAAGCAGTGCGCCGACAAGCAGCGCCAACAAGCGTTGGAAACGCAACATTGGAGGGAGTTAAGAGCAGTGAGTTGAACATTCAGGTTTCACCGAGGACAAAAGTTGGCTGTTGGGAACATGGCCGTTATAAACTGGAAAAAAAAATACAAGTCCATTCACAAACACGTCCACATGCCACTGAAACAAGGCATTCCTAGCTACGTCGAAGCTTAAATACACACCGAGACATGACACCCTCGGCACATAACTCCGCGCAAAGGTTCGTTTGAAACAAAGTTGATTTTGAGTTTGCCTGCAACGGTTGGACAACAGGAAGTTGCGTGTCGAAACCGTTCGTTCCTTCTCGCCCCCTAGTGACAGCCAACCAAGGACATACGAATCACTGAGGACATAAGACGGTCCCTTCCAACGCACGTCATGATCATCGAGCAACCTGGAAACAGTTTGAATAAATTACAGATGGTCTCCAATCGTCAGATCTTTGTGCTCTAGTTCTGTCCTGGTTCAGCGGTTCCTTTCCCGACTTGGCATAAGGCTAAAGGTTGTGTCTGTTATTGGAACGAGTCAAACTGCCGCTTCATGACGAGATAGCTGCAGTTGTAAACAGGGGCTGAAACACGAATTCTCAACTATGGAATCGATCAAAGACTGACGGTTATCGAGATGACCTTGGCTACCTTGATCCTGGGTCCTGGCCTGAAGGTTGTCTTCATCGCATCCGACATGAGCCGATGATCGGCACTGGGTCCATAACGATGGTATGCGGCTGGCGTTTGCGGTGAACAAAGTTTGCCGTTTCACGCGCTTGTCCCGCGCGCTTGTTACATCTTGTTGCCACGCTACGCTTTAGAAGAACTTACGACGAGTCAAGGTCTGGGCATGGAGTGGTGCCTACGCGTGTTAGTTACGTTGCAGAACTCTAAAGCATGCTGCTGCGTTTACAACAAGTCATGGCAGCAATTGCTAAGAAGAATCTCACCGAAAGACAAAGGGAAGATTGATCGACAGCTAAGATATGGGAAGAGTATATGGAAGACGGCCAATAGATCACTGTTATATGGTATCTCTCATGAACTTGAGCAATTATGTTCATATGCAACCTTGAGCTGTAAGCTATAGACAAAAGCGAACTACCATAACCAACGTTTTTTCAACACACAACTGCATGTGGCATCGACACCAAAATGACTGAAAAAATAACTATTTATACCGCCCTAGGTGCCGGATCAGCCGTATGTGTAGTTTGGTGTGAGATGTCGTGGCAATTTGCGTCACGCTGCCACGTAATCCTTTATCTTGGCGTCTCGACACCTCGAAATATAAACAGTAAGGCTAATTCCATGGCATTTAGTTTCATTACATTATAGTGGCGACGGAAAACCCTCTCTGCGGCGGTTCAAAGACTCCCTCGCCTGACACCTTGGTAAGTGGAAATGGCCTTCGTGATCGGGTTTTAACGGATAGCAGACCTATCCTCCCGAACCATAACTAGCTTCATGAAGACAATCCCGTCATTCAAAGGACCTCATGCAAAACCCCTCGCCTTTGAATACATCTCGGCCGCATCCGTGCAGAAAAACCAGTGTCCAGCTACCGTAGTTTCAGTGGAGGGCAACTGATGCCGCATACTCTGGGCCATTCAACGAAGAATGAGGCAAGACAAACCCCGCTTGGGATTATAGAAACAATGGGCTTACTCCGCATAGTTAATACACAATGGCATGCCAGCTAAGGCACGGATCAATGTGTCTGCCTATAGACGAGTAACGGTTCTCTGTCCGCTATAGACCGTGTTTTCCGACAGCATGAGCAATTCACGAGAAACCGGATCCCCAGGTGAGAATCTGTACATAGACCACAGCATGCTGACCATGTGAAGAACAGATTGGCGCATCGATTGACGGCCTGGTCGTCCGCAGCGGCCACACCGTCTCCATCACGGACTCCTGGGCATCCACTCGGACACATTCATATTTGACAAGGACGGCGAGGGCAAGAACCTGATCTCGCATCCAACGGGACCTTCACCCGGGTGCGGGACGGTATCAAAACAAGAAAACGTGCATCAGGCTGACGATCCAGGTTCCAGACAGGTGCATGGACACGGGCGACAACGAAGGCCGCCGGCTGGCGGTAACGGACCTCGTCGATTAAGGCTCGGTGATTTCACCAATGAGATATTAGAGGCATCCGTTGATCGTTGCGGGTTGCAAAAGCGTCGCTCCCCTTGTACATGCGATTATACCCATTGGAAGTTCGCGAGGATAAACAAACTGCCCATGCAAACCGGTTCTCGTCGCTTTCTTTGCGATCCCACAACTTGATTAGATTTAAATACGGTATCACGGAGCTCATGCTTCGTGCTCGTCTGTTGAGAGGGAAAGGTTTAAGGTGTCTTCATCTAACGAAACCTCGGGCAAATGCAGAAGATACCATGTCCCAGCGCAGGTTAACCAAGCGGGTTGTGTCTGTGCATTATAGTTCTGGGGAGGGGAAGCTTATATTAGCAAACCTCTGTCGACGAACGAAGAACGTACTCCGTCCCATCTCCTCACTACCGGGCACTTTTCGCCAGAGTTCAATGTCACCGGTAGGGATATAAAACGCAGCCCCCCGCCGTGCATACAACGTTGCCCACCCTGACACTGATAAGTTGGTGGGAGATACTAATACCACCTGAGTCAGAGGTGCCTATCCAAGCATCACGTCAAGTCTGATCCACGATTGACGTTATGAAGTGATGGGGGTGCACCAATAGACGTATTCAGAGCCAAACGCTGCTGCTCCGCAAATATACAAAGTTTCGGTTCGGATTGAGACTGTCATTTACCATGTTCGGCGCCACGCTTGAAAAAGGACCGGCATCAACCGTCCCCCCGATCAACATCCCTAAAAGGGAGTGGCTATGATATATATTTACAAGAAGGAAGAAACGGCTGGAGTCTCACAACTCCTCGACACGGATACCAGAATGACGAGCTCTGTTTCAGCTGGCGCTCACGGGGACCGTCAAGTTGTCGATGGCCTTGTTAACGGCGTTGTCCCAGCCGTCGGCGGCGGTGCCGCTGACGAGGTAGGACTTGCCGGCGGCGTCGCCCTTGAAGATCCAGTTGAGCCACTGGACCGTGGCCTTGGCGTAGGCCCCGCCGTTGGCCTCGCCGTACGTGCCACCGTGGCCGACGCGGTTGATGTTGCCCTTCCAGGCGGGGGTCCCGGACGGGAGGTTGCTGTAGTCGCGCTCGCCCTGGAGGAAGCAGTCAGTTCCGAGCGGCTCGGTCGTCATCACGGGGGACGGGTATCCCTGCACTTACGTTGGGGTAGGCGATGTCGTTGGGCCCGCCGAGGGCGATGATGATGGGCTTCCGGATCTGCTTCGCCTGGTCGTAGTTGCCGAGCATTCCAGAGTTGAAGATGCCGATGGACGACACGCGGTTGTCGTTGATGAAGTTGTACGCCTCGGTGCCGCCGCAGCTGTAGCCCGCCGTCATGATCTGCTTGGTGTTGACCTTGTTGGCGAAAGCCCCCTTTCCGCCAGCAGCGGCCCAGTCGACGGCCTCCTTCATCTGCGCAGCAGTGGTGCTGCCCGACTTACCGGGCGTGCCTTGGGAAATGACGAGATAGCCGTAGGACGCGATCTGCTTGAGGTAGTTCTGGGCAGACGTGCCATCGGCGGAGCATGCGCCGTTTCCCCAGATGAAAACGGGCATCAGGCCAGGATTGCCTGATCCAGGGCTGTAGATGGTGTGGCTGGGGAGGGAAGAATCGACAATGTAGGCCTAGAGTCCACAGTCAGTTGAAAGGCCTCTGCCACGCATGATGACGGCGCTCGCGTACTCCTGGTGCAAAGGGGCCATTGCCGTTCTGGGCAATGACCGACGATGCGAAGGTCAACAGACCAAGGTGGAAAGATGGCTTCATTGTGATAGCAAGTCGACGACAGTACGGCGGCGTTGAGAACGATGGATGTGTCTCGGCGATTCAGGAATGAAGGGCATGCGATTCATTATAAGTTGCAGTTATTACCTTCCAAACGTCAACCATACATGATAACCACCGGCGTTGTTGCTGGCGCAGCACTCGATCGAGAAGACCGGGTCCTTGCCGCACAATCTATCCGGAGAAGCGCTACGAAATGAGACGAGGGCGGCCAATCTTGTAGAGGCCCGCGCGAAGCCAAGGAAACGTGCAATTAGCCATTTCTGAAAAGAAACCCTTCCACGGTCGTCCGACTGCCGCACCCCCGCACACCACGCACCGATGTGGTGGTCATCGGGCAATCAACCCGCAGTTGGCCGAATCAAGCAGAAACGTTGCCAAGATGGGGGGGTCTGCCAGATCGGCGACGCCTTGAGTCAGGGGAGCAGTGAAGCAGCTTGAGGAATGCCGCCGTTGAAAGCGCGTTTTGTCGTATACGAGTCTCTCGGGTGTTTGGAAGCCTGCCAAGAGACGTGAGTTCCACTCCAAGATGTAATCTGATCAGTCCGGCCCTTCAAAGCAACGCCGGGCCCGATACGAAGCAAGACAGGAACAACCTTCATTTCCTCTGCCAAAGTGCGAGCAGCCACACCACCTTCTATTCTATATGCATTGCAACACTTCCAAGGTGATCCTGTGATATTAGTCGATTTCTTGAAAGTCCACCAGTAGAGACCATTTCTCACCACCTCGGGCCGTCTGGGCGGGTGGATGGACGGACGGAGAGCCCCCGACAGTCAACTGCCGATGATGCAACAGATCTCCTGATCGTGTCCAGAAGAGGCAAATCTAGATGTTGGCCCATCCACCAGATCTGTTTACCAAGATCGCTCAGTCGGGCGTGGGGTACCTACATGGGCGGGTGGCGATCCCTGCCTTTCGTCGCAACCCGTTTGCTTTCCGGATGAACTCATCCAGTTCTAGACATCCGCAGTCGTTCGTTGCCAGATGCCTCGCCCGGCTATGTTACATTGATGGACTATTTCGTTACCGTATCGAGTGGAGATTAATCACCTCTGCCAAGCTGCACATGAGCTGTGAAGCAACACATGCATTTCATCCCATTTCCCGCCCTGCTGGTTGGCGTTTCCAAGTTGGCGCTCTCACACGCACATGCGAGCTTGCGGCCCTGGAGATGGAAACTAAAGTCACGCAACATGATCAGATGATCATGTATGGCAAGGGCGATTGGCTGCATGGCCTCGCGGTCCTGCACAGGTAGAACAGGCGGGGGCTCAACGCTACCCCCCGGCCATCTCTCAACCAAAAGAAACGTCCGTACTCCTCGCATGCCAAGGGCTGTTACGGATACATCAGCACCATCTCTACGCAACAGACCCATTTATAGCTCCATCGAGACCATATTTGACAGATATTAGCATGGCAAGGTGCTCGGGACCAAAGCATGCCGCGAGCAAGTCGGCTACCTGTATAGATTCCAGAAGAGCGTCTTGTAAGGTGGTATCTTGTTCATTTCGCCAAACCTTCTCTGCCCACCAATCTCATGCCTACCGCTCCGGCTATCTACCTAAAAGAGACAAAAAGAGGACGGCCTCAAGGCAGGCCAAAGCACCTCAGTCATCGTACAACTCCTCCTCCTCCTCCTCCTCATCGTACTCCTCCCCCCGGTGGCTGTCGTGGCTGTCGTCGCGCTCGCGATAGTGGTAGTGGTCCTCAGACCCAGAGGACGAGCGCCGTTCGGAATCGCGTTCGTGGTCGGAATCGGAGTCTATGCGATTGTTAGTTGGAACCCCACACGCCAGCAGAGCCGAAACTGGGGGGGCTATCCATACCTAGGGCGTTGGCGAGGAGGGCGCCTCCAAGGGCGCCAACCGCGAGGCCGCCTGCCACGCCGAGCAGCATGTTCCCATTGCCGCTCTTCTTCTTCTTCTTTTTCTTCGTGTCCTCCTCGCCGCCGTATCCCTGCTGGTAAGACTGGCCGTAGTGCTGCTGCGGATGAGGCTGGCCGTACTGTTGGCCATGGGATTGACCGTAGGATTGGGACTGCTCGTAGCCGTGTTGTTGCTGGCCCTGTCCATAGTGCTGGCTGGCGTAGTACCCCGCACCAGCACCGGCAGCTGCGCCGGGGTACGCCCCATATCCCGGCTGAGGGGAATGTCCTCCGTACCCGGGTTGAGGTGAGTATCCCGGCTGCGGAGAGTGTGCACCATACCTTGGCCCCTCTCCGTGGCCGCCGTATCCCGGCGACATTGGCGGAGGCGACACCACGGGCGAAGGGGCGGCGGGCGGCTCCCACTGCGAAACGCCAGTGGCCTGTTCGACGTAGAACCACCGCCCGCTGTGCTCGTCAAAGCGCTTCGACCAACCAGCTGGAAGCCGCGGTGACGGCGGTCGTCCATGCCCGGGTGACGGGGGCCGGCCGTAGTAGGACTGCTGCTGCTGCTGCTGCTGCTGCTGAGGATACGGACTCGACGGCGACCCGCCGGCGTCTCCGTACCGCCCGGGATGAGGCGTGGGATACTGGGGCTGCGAGCCGTAGGCGCCAACGGCCGCTCCTGCGGCGACGCCGGCGGCCATGGAGGACATAGCGGTGCCCTCGGAGACCGGGTCGGAGTAGGCGGAGCGGGCGGGGTCACTGGAGCCGAAAGCGGCGGGGTGATGGCGCTTGTAGTCGTCGGCTCCGTTCTGAGGACCGCCCGGGTAGCCCGAGGGCGGGCGGCCGTCGTAGCCGTCGTGAGAGCCATGGTTAGTGTAGCCGTAGTCTTTGTGGCCTGCGGTCGGGCGGTCAGGTCAGGTTTCGCGACGTGGGAAGACGATAGCATCTTATCCCTCACTCACCTGGGTTGATGATGTCGGGCTCGTCGGGGATGCTGAAATTGCCGAGCTGCGACGCCAGCTTGGCCACGTCAAAGTTGCCGAAAAACGACATGAGGGCTATAGTGCTGGCTGCTGATGCCTTTTCTCTCTTTTCGGTAGTGACAGTCAGTGAGTGTTTGGGGTGGGAGAGAAGATAAAAAACCGTCGTCGTCGTCGCCGTCGTTGGTGTTGATGTTTTTTTTTTTTTTTTTTTTTTTTTAGTTTCTTGGAGCCGCGGGGTCAAATGACGAACGAAAAGGGAAAATCGGGGAAGGTACCTATCTAGTATCTAGGCAGGTACCTACACACTAAGTTCAGGCAAGGAAGTTACGACGCGTATAGAGCGAGCGGGATGAGATTCGTAATGGTGGCTTTCTTGGGCTGCAGACGCCACTGCATGTCAGATTGGCCCTGTGCCGTTTGGTGTTTTTGTTTTGTATTTTTATTATTTTTTATTATTAAATCTTGTATTACTTAGTATTCTATGGATGGAGCCGAGGCCGCCAGAAGCGCGTTACGCATCCGCGTGTTCTCGGCATGTACTACAAACCAACGTGGCACGGGACGGACGGCAATCACGGGTCTCTCTTGCTCGGCGCGACTTGGCTAATTCGTCTTCCTCTATGCAGTATAGGACAATACGTCTTGCATGGATATGAATCTCCATCGGTTTGTCTTGCTCGCAGCAACATCATTCCTCTCTCCATCAATCTATACATCCCCCTCCTGGATTAAACTCCTTTCGGATGACCTACTAATTATTGATTCCCCCCAAAGACTAAGCATCCAACCCCCTGCGCTCCCAATTCCACCGTCCCAGCTCGGCCTGCGGGACGACCCGTCTGTACATCTCGTAGGGCTGAGGGCTGTGCGCCGATTCCGCACAGTCAATGCATGAATGATAGCTCGAGGGCCGGCCCCCAAGACGAGACGTATCGACCTGCTATCAAAGTATTACGGTAAAGAGACTAGCCTCTAGTCGACCGGCCAACAAAACACAATTGGAACTTCTCAGGGCTGCAGAACCTGGGCATATAGTGACAGCATCGAAGGGTGTGGTGGGGTGATCAATGTCCTCAAGCGATTCAACAAGCGGATACAAATCTCTTCGCCGTCATTCATATAAATCCCTATCCGTCTCTGTGTCCAAGGGGAAGGGCAATCATGGGTATAGAGCTGTGAAGCCGAGCAAGAATAAGGAAGAGAGAAGAAAAAAGACACCGCCGCCATGAGAATGAAAAGAAAGATCCAAAGTCCAACGGCCAAACACCCAAATCCCAAAACGCCGATAGCTATGCGTCTACTTTTTTTCTTCTTCTTCCGTGGCTGCCTTGCGATGCAAATCGAACGATGCAATGTTTTCCTCCGCTGTCCTGCCTTGTCATGTCCACTCCTCCCTCCCCTCAATCACCCATTACAGCTCTCCGTCGTAGGCCATTATTTTTTGGCGATTCGGGCACTGCGCTTGGCAGGCGTGCCATTGGCGCTTAGTCCCAGTTCCTTCTTGGCTGCCGCAGACACCTTCTTCGGCTTGGTGACCTTTGCGCCCTCCGTCTTCGGGCCGGGAATGGCCGGCTGGCGCTCCTTTGCTGACTTGGCCGTTCCGGCCTTGGCCGCTGAAGACTTGGCCGTTGAAGACTTGTTCGCGGCGGCCTTGGTCGTCGAGCCCTTGGGTTTGCTTCTAGTATTGCCCACCTCCTTCTCTTCCGCGGGGCTCAGCGGCTCCACGTATGGCTCAACAGACTGGCTCCTAGTCAACTGTTCAGCCCACTGAACGCTTTTGCCGTCCTTGCGAGCTTCTGCAACAACTGGTGTCTCGATTGCTGGCGCCGCCTTCTTCAAAGACTCCAGGACCTGCTCGGCTGGCAGTGCACCTCCCTTATTCGTGCGAGTGTTCTGCCGAGTCAAGGCAGACAAATCCTTTTCCCCATTCCTCACTTTGGCATATCCCTTGTGCCTGACGGGGATCTTTGTCGTGGGAGCTGGCTCGCCGCGCTCTGCGGCCCGCTGGGCACGGGTTCTGACGCCAGTCGCGGGGCCAGCCTCCTCCTCTGCAGGCTTAGTGTCCTCGTGCTCCTTTGGCTTTTCCTTTTCATCCTTGTCGGACTTCTCTGCCCTATCTCTACGCTGACGCTTCGGCGGCTGGGGCATCTTCTCCGGCGATGGCCCCCTCTCACCAACATCATCGACCTTTCTTTTAACCTTCCTAGGGCTCGGGCTGTTAACGTCGAGGGCTCCAAGAGGTCGTCGTGCAGTTGAGACAGCGGGAGACGCCCGCCGAGCAGAACGAGGTCGCTCCGCCGAAGATGTGACCGAGAACGCCAGGGCTTCGGCACGGAGGCTCTGAGCGCGCTCGGGCGTGGGAGCAACGGTGGCAATGATCGGGGCAGAAGGAATGGGGGTCGGAGAGAGGGGGGGAGTGGCAGCGGTCTCGACTGGCTCAGGTGCTAGCTTGGCAGCTTTGGCAGCCTTACGGGCGGCGTGCCGGTTCATGAACTCTCTAAGCATGATCAAATCGGAGTCGTCATCATCCAAAGCCGCTGCAGTCACCTGGTCAGGTACCTGCTGCAATTCTTCGTCTCCCTCCTCGGCCCGCTCCTCCTGCTCTTCTTCTTGGCCGGCGACGGCGACAGGCGACGGCGAGGAAGTGGCAGGTGCATCTTCAGGTGCAACAATGGCAGCGTACTTCTCCGAGACTTTGAACCGCACCATCAGACGATCGCCTTCCCTGCTCACAAGGACATTGCTATCCATCGTCTCCTTGGCCTCGTCAAATACGTGGGCGAGGGAGGCAGGCGCCTGAATAGGTGAGTCGACACGCTCCTGGAATGAGCCAAAGATGTCGGGATTTTCCCTAGCATCGACGACAACGGACGAAGGAGAAGACGATGCCACAGGAGAAGCCAATGCCAACGCTGATGACGACGACGCCCCGCGAGTAGACCCCGGTGAAGACTCGACAAACGCCGCTGATGCTGAATCAACCTCGGAGGGATTCTGCACCGCGGGGAGCTCAACCGACACGTCGGGAGCACCCACCAGCGGTCCGGATGCTGGATCTTGGGGATCCTGCACCACAGCAAGCTGGTCCGAGTCGGCAGCGGGGAGGGTATGCGGAAGTGACACCCGGCGAAGGAGGGATGTGAGAGACGGACGGCGCGTTGCAGGGAGCGACTTGCGTTTCTTGAATGGAGACGCCTGGCTGCGGTCCTTGAAGTACACAATGGGACTCGCAACAGGCTCGGACGCCTCCTCCTCGAGTCTCTTCTCACCATCGTCGCCGTCTGTCTCGGTAAGGCCAGGCGAGGAGAGGAAGGACGGCACTTCAAAGGTGAAGCCAGGTCCGATGGGGGAGGACAGAGGTGACGAAGGTCCATCTGCCTGCTCTTGAGCGGTAAGGGTTGCGAGTTTGGACCGTAGGAAAACGAGGCCTCGGTCCAGCCGGGTCTTCCTGCTTGCTTCCGAATGATGCGTGGCGCTCGAGGGAAAGTGCGGGAGCTTTGCGGTAGGACTCTGTGGCTCATCCTCCTCTTCGATAACAGAGAAGTCCGACTCGCCGAAGATGGCAATGGGTTGCCGGACGTTGCGGTGCTTTTCTGGTTCGCGGCCGTGGGCCTTGTTAGAATCGCGGATCGCCGTCTCGAGGACCCATTCGAAGCTCAGGTCGGGCATGGGGAAGGCAAGGAGGGGCTTCATGATGGCGTGCGTCAACAGGCCGTTGTTGTAAGCCCGTTTGGGTTCGCCATCGTAGTTTCTCTTGCCCCTTGTCGGAGCAATCACCTCGCCATACTTCTCCATGTCTGCCTTGTATTGTTGACGCTGCTCACGGATACTCGGGCCCGCTGGGAGGGAGAACAGGTCGTTCCGGAGGACGCGGCGGGCCTCGATCATGTTAATCACGGGCCTCTCTTCCACCTCCTCGTCCAGCCAGTACGGTTCCGAGTAGTCCTCCTCGGTCCACTCTGTGACCCTCTGCCTCTTGCGAGGGCAGATGGCATACGCCAGGTCGCCCTTGACGGCAATGTGCCGGAATTGAACGGCGGCATCGAGCTCCTCCACAGAGAGCGACTCCTTGACGCGCTTGGCTATGGCCTTTTCCAGAATCAGGCCCCTTGCCTTTCGTCGTTGCTTCACGCGCGTGGCACGTGCCGGTCGACGGGGGAAGTCGGGAACGTGAGCAAGCGTGGTGGCGAAGTTGAAGTCGGCAAACATCTGGGGATCGAAAGGTGCGCTGGTCGAGTTAGCTGGGGCTGAGCACATGTTAGAGGACGGGGTTAACTGACCAGAGGTTCTTGGCCATTTCTGAAAGCGCGACGGATGCGAGGTAATATGCTTGAGGCTTTCTCGGCGACGCGGCGGTAATGTCAGACAGCATAGTAATGTCATGCATCGTCGTGTCGGCCTTTGACGGGGTCTCGAATGCACCGCCTTGTTCGGGATCCAGCTCTCGAATCTTGGAGAGCGACAGAAAGGCAGCGCAGGCCTCTGATTGTGGCTGGTTAGAGTCGAACTGGTCGTGAGTAAGCTGGGGTGTTGTCGGCGAGGTTATTGACATGACAGAAAAGTCAGAGAATGCCGGCTTGGAGGGGCTAGACTTTGGTGAAAGACCACGGGCCAGTTTTGGCGTGGACGCGCAAAAGTGCTTGGGTGTGGAGGCGGTGAAGGATGTAAAGCTGTCGTCGGCGAAGGAGACCTTTTTGGGCGAGGGAGTTCTGGCGGTCGAGATGGCCTTGGTCGGCCTCGGGGTCTCTGCCGTGCTGGACTTCTTAGAGGGGGAGGCAAGCGCGAAGGAGGTCAGCTTGGGAGCCTGCCTCTTGGTAGTCGACTTTGACTTGGGCGAGACGTCGGCCTTGGTTGGCGTGGTGAAGTCAAAGGAGAGGGATGGCAGGTTCGGCGCCACACTGCCGTTAAGTTGAGGCGCGGCTTGGAGCGTGGAGAAGGCCATGTTGGGGCTGGCGCGGTCGACGAAGCGCGAGGTTGGGGGAGTGATGGCGTCACCCGAAGGCGGGTTGAATGTCAATTTCGGGATATCCATTGTGCGTACTGACGCAACATCGGTTGGGTGACGGGAGGGTAGCGTAGGAGCTATGGTCTCAGATGCGATGCGATGCGATCCGGGCCCGGAGATGCTCTCGGACGCGATTGCGCGAAAGTACCGTCGCGAAAGGTGCGATTGGGAGAGAGGGGAAAAAGTAAACAAAGCGCGCGGCCGAACGCAGACAAGAATGGGTGCGAGCTAACCGGCAAGCAGCTGGAAACTGCGGTTCTGCAACTGTCGCGAATTGCCCAGATGTAATTACCCAATTCAATATAACCAATTCAATATAACCAATGTCTGCAGATAGTTCGGGTTGACGTGAAACCGTGACCAAGATTTGGTATCTCGGGCGTGACGCGGAGATTGGTGCGCGTTCGGGAACTCGGGGGGGTGGTTTCAAGGTACTTGCTTGGACGGACAGCTACATAAATTGAGATTAAAAAGGCAGGGAGAAAGAGAGGAAAGGCAGAGATGGACGGGGTAGCGTAGTGTACACAAAAACACAAAATTTGGTGTGGTGGGCTGCCGTGTTGGTTTCCGCGCGGGTGTGACGGGCAACGAGAAGGCCATCCATCCTTTTGTTTACATTCCAAGGACAAATAAGCCAATCGGCAGCTCCCAAGTCCCCTGCATGGCGCGGTGGCTGCTTACCTAAGCCACGCTAGTCCCCCGCCTGTCCCAGGCTGGCTGCGCTGCATATCATGAACAGCGTACAGCGTAGATCCCAGACGCGCGCACTCTACTCTTTCCTCCCTCGGGACCGTGTCTTGCGTGTCTTTCTTTACCCCACCCACGCGAAAGCCACTGCGCACTTCTGACCAATCAAACGTCTCCAACGCCCTGCAAGGCTGACAAGACGTGATTGGTCTAAAAAGAAAAGAAAAAGAAAACTGTTGCTCGGAACCGCATCAAAGCTTTCGCGATGCCATGGATGCTTAGAAGCTCGGGATATGGAGCTTGATTTTTTTGGATCCGTAGGCCGCGACGACGACGACGACGACGACGACGATTGGGTCCCACGACAGCAATACCCGACGACCACGACGATCCGAACGACCCTTGAGTAATCAAACAGTATCAGACAAGTTCGCCACACCGCCGAGCCAAAGAACCCAGAACCGCCCATCATGCCTTCAAAACCGATGCGCCTGCCGCCCGTCAAGGTCCTCCGTGTCCGCGAGCCCAACAGGCAAGTCGAAAACCCGTGCACGCAGGCCATGACTGCCGTTCTCGGTATGTCCCTTTCCCCTCCCCCTTGCTGTCTCAGTGTCTCCATCTGGCCGTCTCTGCTTTCCCATCTCGCGACGCAAGCTTGCGTCATGAAAACGCCGCCAATCCCCTCCCTCCCAAAAGAAGCATCCTCCACTGACGTCTCCCTCCAGCATGCTGGGCCTCCGCCGGCTATAACTCCGCCGGCTGCGCGGCTCTCGAGAACGCCCTGCGCCACTGCATGGACCAGCCTCAGAAGCACCAGAAGGCCTCGTCCACCATCAACTACCACCTCGGTCGCATGTACCACAAGGTGGTGCCTCACTCCAAGGGCAAGTAGGCGGTCAACGGACCCGATACCGAGATGGGGAAGGGGAGAGGAAGAAGCTGATGCCCGATACCCAAACGCGTCGATTGCGAGGTGCCCGTCGGGACGTTCAAGATGGCTGCGGAGACGTGAGACGCCTGCGAAGGGCAGCCCAGAGAAGCACAGCGACGGAGCAAGCATCGACCGCACACGGCCCGTTTCGATGACTGAGCCTTGCAGCTGTCGAGGGATGTACAATCATACTATTATACACGGGACGCGGCGTTTAAGAGCACAGGTGTTGTAGAACCAATGTACCATATACGGCAGCCGGAGGGTTCGCCACGTCACAGCCAACATGAGGAGACTTTTGACCACATCTGATGGCACCCTGCTGACCGACCCCCTTCTGGCCTTCTTCTCGCCTTCTGTCATCGGAACAGGTGTCTGTGCCTTGGTGTAACGAGGGCCGTAGCTCGGTCACTATATATATATATATATGTATGTCTATATATACATATATACGGACGATATGGGCAATAAACGTTGATTATCATGCGTTGGACATGGAAACGGGGTCAATGAACTTAACAGGCTTCCTAGAGTATAGTGACCGTCTTGAGCCACCCCTAAGCAAACAAAAAAAGAAAAAATAGAAAAAGAATAGCCATTCATGTTTTCAACTTCTAGAAACCATGAGCTATCAGCATGCCACTGCACCCCCCGTCCATGACGGCACGTCTCTCTCCGTGTCCCACCAATTGCACGGAAAAGTACAAATTGTCCAAGCATGGTCTTCTTCTTCTTCCTCTTCCGCCTCGCATGTAGTAGTAGCTAGCATATGTCTGTCTCTTCGTGGCACACGCGTAGGAGATGACGAAGAGGATTTCACAGCACGGGCACATGAAGCTGATCCCTTACGCAATGCTGGAACTCGGACATCAGTCGGTCTATTGCGACTGGTATCCCGCCCCACCAATGTCACTGTTTCGCATCATATCAAATGGGCATCTCAGTCCACGCTACACATCTCGGCATTGTTCACGGAACGGCAAAGCCTGTCAATTCTTCGAGTATCCTTTAACTAGCGCCAGTCAAGAACCGAATTCCAAACCTTCGCGAGCGACGTGGCAGACATCTCCATCGCTCCCCCCTCCCCGTCCAGCCGACAGTGGCATCATCCTCACCACCACCACCGTCAGAGCCAATTCATTCACCAATCGCGTCTCCCGCTCTTCGTCGAAGAAAAAAAAGAACAAAGGAAAGGAAAAACACCCAGATATCAAATCCATGCGTCATCATCAAAGTCGTAACGATCGAAAGAGGGTCAGTCATTCCCAAAGCAAAGTAAACAACCAACAAAGAAGTGAAGATATGTGGAATCGCCTCCTGGGTCCGTCGTCTTCGCCAATTTCGTCCCCTTCAGGCCTGATGGTTACGGGCCAGGAAAAGGGGCATGCAAAGTATGCCCAGAGTCGCCAATGCCGAGATTGGTCGCAAATATTTCCAAGAACAATGTTCCAGGTGAAAGGGCGCCTCCGCGACTAAACGCCACTCTAGGCGCGTCGCGGGGCTGTAGATGTGGTTGGTGGTCATGGTGATGTTGCCGTCTAAATCCTCGCAAGTCCGAATGCTTCCTAACCGCAGGTGGCCGCCACTGCAGTGCTTGCGGAATGAGACGGGCGGCCAGCCCCGCCTGATGCGATGCTGAGAGGTATAAAAAAATATTTTGAAAAGAAGAGAGAAAAAAAAGAGAAAAAAAAGTAAGGTGAAACAAGTCTGCTCCGGACGCCTTTGTATGCAAAGAAATGCCTCCCTCCTCCCCCGGTGGGTATATGGATACGATGCGCCTGGGAAAGCCCCTCAAAAAGGTTTCCCAAAAGACCTATTTGGACATAGAAATGAGGCGGTCAAGCCGTTTCCCCGACGCAGAAGAGTTCGATCTCGCCAACTCCTCCCGGTGCGGTGTTGCGGGCGCCCTCGCGCCACTCGATGAAGGCAATCTGGATGTCGTCGTCGCTGGCAATGGTTACAAAGTCACCATCCTCGTCCTGGTAGCGCAGCTTGAGCATGCCCTTGCTGATGCTGCTGCTGGTAAACCTCCCGAGCTTGGCATCGATCCGGTCAATCAGCGATTGGTACGTGATGTTGAACGCAACAACCAGAGTTACGTAGTTGCCGCTGTCGACAAAATTGACCTTGACCTTGAGCTGCGTGGGAATCGGTAGTTCCGGGCTGGCAAGCGGGTTGGACGAGGAGCCGCTGATACCACTGCCCGGGGGCGGGGACAGCATCGCGTTCATGGATGCGGCCGCGTCGATGCTGAGCTGTCGGTCATGACCAGAATTCGGCGTTCCCTGGCGAGGGTAAATCGGCTGAGCGGGGAACTGAGACATGGTCCCGCCGTAGCTTCCGGACTGATGGTGACCATACTGGCGCTCGCGCTGGGTACCGGGGCTCTGCGTGTTCGTTCGGATGGGAACGTCATTCATCCTGGGTGAGCCAGTTTGCGACCGAGGTATGTTCTGGTCGTGGGCGGGGTGCAGGTGTGACGGGATGCCAGGCACCGCGGGGACAGGAGTGCCTCCCTGAGTGCGACGGATGCCTCCGGGCCCGTTGATATCAGGCGTGCTGTATGACCTGCTGCGTTGTTGCTGTGCGGCACTCTGGCTGTTAGATGCCATGGCTGGCAGTGAGGGCCCACGAGGGTTCCTCTGCTGGGACCCGTCTCGGGAGGGGGCGCGAGGCATCGCCGGGGCCGTGTATCTCTGGTTTGGGTCGTCCCACCCGGAACCGGGCTGCGGGGTGAGGGACTTTGGAAATTGGTATCCCGGGTTGGGGAACATGGTACTCGCCGTGCTCGTTCGCGACGAGACGGGCGACTCAGCCACTGGTGAGAAGTATGAATCGCCACCGCGACCGCCGGGCGAAGTCGCGCCCGAGGGGAGAACCTGGGTTGTGAGGCTCAAGGGGGCGGGAGGCTGAGGAAGCGGAAAGCGGGGCGGTGGCACCCTCACCATGCCGGCAAGACTCTCGTTCGTGGCGGCGCGTTGCCGCAGGCTCGTGCTTGACGCATTGCGAGGAAGCATACTGCCTCCCGTCGACTGAGTCGGCGGGGGGAATTGGGCGGGAGCCGAGGCCGCCGGCCACAGCTCGTCCTCGTCATCCTCGTCTTGCTGGTTGAGATACGGGTTCTCGAGCTTGGCGGCGTTGTCGCGGGTCCAGGCAAAATCAGGGGCCGCCTGATCAGGGCTTGCAGAAGCCTTGGTGGGCGCGTTCTCCTTACGTTGCGCCTCTAGGGCAACGGCCCATTTCTTCATCTGCTCCTCGTTGGTGTACTTGATCATAAAGTTCTCCACGCCGGGGTCACCCTTCCACCAGATTTGAACGCTGTACGATCCTATCCCTTGGTTAGTGCCAGAGGTAAACGTAGCTGGTTTCCTGTGCTTACCAGGCTTTGCGAGTGAAACAACGTCGGTGACATTGGTCATGAAGATGCGACCCTTCAGCTGAAGCCTGGCATTCTTGTTTCGCATCTTGGGCCCGGTCGATCTGGTCTTGTCCTTCTTGTCCTTGCTCTTGTTTGCCGATATTTCCTTGCAGCAGAGCAGGATACACTCGAACAGATAGATCTCGTACTGTTCTAACATTAGCACAACGGCGCCAGGAAATGCCCGGCGACAGGTGTCCCAGAGTACTCACGTCTTTTTCCTGTTCACTCTTGCCCGTGACAACGGTATAAACGCCATGCATCAATAGACGGCCGAACTGCTCCACGCGGTGATTCTTCCAGTCGTCGACCCGGTTTCGCAAGTCATCGAGAGCCTCGTCCAGGAGATCGCGGTTGACCTCCTCGTTTGCCTTGGAGAGCACGCGTTCCGCAGCTTCGATGCCGGCTGCCAGGTCAGCCTTGATCGCGTCGTCCTCGCTCTTCTTCATGAGGTCCTTCAGCAGTAGCGGGTACTTGACAAGTCGTTGCATGGGCTTGAGCAGGAAACCGTCCAGAGTGTTGAAGTCGGCGGCCACAGGATGTCCGCTGGCCTTGATCTGGTCGAAGACTTGGTTCGCGACCTGGGCCGCCTTGCGCTGATTGGCGATGAAGGGCCTGTAGATATCGAACGATTCTTCGTATGTGACAAAGGGGGCTCCCCATTGCTGCACCAGCTTGGGCATGGAGTTGGTCGTCTCCACGCGGATAAGGAACCGGCGCTGGAAGTCCAGAATGGCGTTGATGTTGAGGAAAATCTGGTGGATCGTGTCGCCGGTGATGATTCCCTTCGTCTCCAAGCTACTCTTGAGGTCGTAGAGGTTCTCCAGATCCTGCACATATTTGCGCTCCGTATCGACCAATTCCTTCACAATGTGATCTCGGTAGCTCAGCTTGGAGCCCGGTTCGAGGGGCAGGTCATCGTCGGGGTAGGGCTGCAACTGTTGCAGAAGCCCTCGTTGTTCGGCGATGTCGAGTACGTAGTTTACGACTTGGGTTGTCTGCGGAAAAGGTTAGGCAACCCGGTTTGAGGGATGAGGGAGGGCAGAGGCGAGGGAGGGAGGGCTGGTGTCGGCATGGAGAGCGAGACGGCAGGTACGGAAGGGCGGCAGTTTCACATACCTTGACAAATCCGGTCGTGTCATTGCCCAGCACATCGCTGATGACGAAGCATTCGGCCGAGGGGATGCCCAAATCCTTGAGACAGGCCTGGATGAACTTGAAGAGGGCGATTTTTGCCTTTTTGCTGTCATTTGCGTTTGCGTTTGCCTCTTCGATCTCAAGGGGTTTTTCGGGCTGCAGGGCGTTGTATATGTCGAGGAGGGGGTAACCGGTGCGGAAGAGGCTCCACAATGACTCGACAGGGTCATTAGGGTCCAGTTGCTGCAAATAGGGGTCGAAGTTGGGCACTTGGGATAGGCGCTGCTTCAACGACATGCAGATCTGGTATAGAGAGCGCGAGGCATCGGCCTTTTGGTTGATAATGTTGGCGGTGGCAACGACAGGGCCGCCATTTTGCGGGGGCGCGACGGTGGACGCGCTGTTGAAGGAGGCTAGCGAGGCGGAGGAGGTGAAGGCTGTCGAGCCGGAAAGCTGGCTGGCGCGGGGCGCATTACTCATGGTATTGGTGAGGCTACCGATTCCGTCGGGTTGCTGGAATACAGGAGCCGTGTTCGTTCTCAGGAGGGGAGCATGAGCCATGACGTCCTAACCCATCCGGCGAAAGGAAGAGGAAAGGGGAGGAGGGGAGGACTCGACGGTGGAACGACGGTCGGGAGGATGATCGACTTTGGAACGAGGGTATCGTGACGTGCGGGGAATGGGGGCAAAGCGGTGGGAGATCGATGAAGCGCTTTCCTGTACTGGATCAGATCACAGACAGGGTCACGTCATCCAGCGCTGGGGTTGTCGAAAGTCGGTCTGGTCGAGTGGGCTATCTCGGGGATGCAAAAGAGTCGGTGGTTGGGAGGAAGAGAAGCGACAATGTAGCGGTCACGGTCGGCGCCAAGGAAGGCTCTCGGGGTGAATCGACGTCGTCGCGAAAAGGGGTGTCTTTTTTCCTTGAGCTTCTGCGAGACAGAATCAAAGAACAGGAAGGGACGAGTCGAGGCGGTTGGCGTTGGGCTGCGATTAGGTTTTTTTTTCTTTCTCTCACGATGCCGAACGGCCCTTGTCGATCGTTTAGCTCAGCAGTGGGCGGCAGCAGCAGATGGAGGAGAAGGAAGATGAATGGGAGAAGCCGTACGTGCCCGTGAGTGTGTGGGTGTGTGTGTGCGTGTAGGTGTGTGTGTGGGAGAGTGTGGGTGAGTGTGTGACAGAAGTGCCGGCGCCGAGTGTCGGTGGAGGAGGGAGGTTGGGCTGGTTCGGGCGGGTCTCCTTTCAAGTGAACGAGTCGAGGTTGCGGAGCGGGTGCGGAGCGTTGCGGGCTATCGGGGCGAAACGAGTTGCTTTGGGTTGTTGACCCCTGCGCGCAGTTGGTTTTCGGTACCCTTGTGGAGGCGATGAAAGGCGAGAGAGGTGTGTGTGCATGTGTATTTCGACTGACTGGGCAGAATATGGACGGACGGCGTTCAGGTGGCTCTGTGTGAAGGCCGAGTCGGAGGGTATTTCAAGTTTGGGTTGGCGGTGATATCGCCGGAGTTGGGGGCGTTGATGTTGCAGGGCGCAGACGGATGCAGCAGGCGTGCATGAGGGCTGCTTTCGGGGGAGGGAACTGGGCTGGGTAACCGACTCAATGTACACTGAGAGTTCAAGGCGCGAGCGCAAGTGTTACCTATACTGAGTAGGTAGGTTGTGTAGATAGGTAGGATGTACCGTGGTAAGGTACCTTTGGTAGGTAGTGTAGGTAGGTAGGCTGGTTCACTGTCCGTGTGTATGCATGTAGGTAGGTAGGTATTAACAGGCAAGGGAAGAGAGAACAGGAAGCAAAGTAAACAGGTAGAGGGCGAGAGAGGGAGGGGGGAGAGGGTAAGGCGAAGCAAACCAAAAAAGACGGGTAGGTAATAGTCAGTAGGGCGGGCGGGCATCTGAAAGGTCCGGTCCTTGTCGTCCAAGGAAGGAAGGGCAGGACAAGACAGGAAAGGACGGGGTTCCCGATTCCAGTGGTAGGCAGGTTCCGGGTTCCCAGTCTCCAGTTCCCCTCTTTTTCTATCAGTTATTACGCTCTTTACGCTCACTATTGCTCCATTCCATGCTCCTTATTCTTTAATTTTTATTTTTATTCTTTCTCTTTTCTAGGGTGCTGGTAGTGATAGTAGTGACGGTGGTGGTGGTGGAGGAGCAGGAGGCGGTGGTGGTGGTGATGATGGTGGTGGTGGTGGTGGTACTTGGTGGTGGGACAGAGAAAGGGGATGGATGGCAGGGGACAGGGAAGCGACAAGGGGGCACTGCTAAGGTATCAACGGCAGGAGATGGATAGTACGTACGGTCTGGTGTGGTGGTGTGGTATGTGCGTGGTGTGGTGCGGTGCGGTGTACGGATACGTATTCGTACATTGTGCATAGTACCTACCTAGGTAGGTAAGAAGTGACTGTAGGTACTGTAGTAAAATGGTGTCTGTGTGGAATATCTGTTCAAGTATTGGCAAGTGGGAGGGGATAGCGTGCATTGATTGGGTCAAGCATCTCAGGTTTGGTTTCTCTCATGGGGGTGCGAGAACGGGAGGAAAGAGGGGGAGGGGAAGAGGAAGGCACGAAGGACTCTCTCTCTTTCCTTCTCTGCCAGCGGCAGTGGAGGGGGAAAGAGGGACAGAAACTGGGAGAGAAGGAGAAACCTACAGTACCTGCCTAAGAACATGAAAGAGATGCGCTGAAAAACAGAGGCACAAAGACTACCGTAGGTACCGACAGGCTGCAGATGGGTAGTGTACTCTGCTCTATCCGTACTCTAAGGAGTAGTGTATCCGTACCTACTCGCATTGATTCTGATGGAGGGTTTGAGCGTTTCAAATTAGCGGGTAAAACACTAGGCCGAATTGGGCATCGCCTCTCCGTCGCAGTGGACAGATCATCGCGTCTCCCATTGATTGAACAAGATGCCCTCGTGGTACGCTGCTTACTTGCACGCGCGCGGTAGTCTAATTGCGGTTCCCCTTCTTTGATCTTGACCACCCACTCATTCACTCGATCCCACTTCGACCAAGGCCGACTCCGACGACGTACTCTGTGGTGTGGTGCACCAGGTTGTGGCCGACATGGCATATCCGAATCTCCCCTCCCTCTCTCCCTCTCTCCCTCTCTCCCTCTCTCCCATTGTGCACTCGCTACGGATACACAGCCAATACATGGTACAAGGCACATGCACTCGCTACCACCTACCTACCCACCTAGGCAGTATCTCGCGGCTGCGGCATCTGGGAAACACCTTGGTCCGTGGCTTTACAGAACGACATGGGGGTCAGGGAAGGGAGTAGACATAAGTACCTCAGTCCAGGAAAAGACGATGAGCAAGTTGGGCAAGTGACGAGTGTCATGGATTAAGGTGGTATGGCATTGTTCCAGAAGGTCGATGGAACAAAGGTAAGGCCAAGGTAGCGTCTACACTACTTGTACTAGTAAATATGTACAGGCCCCGGAGCTCAAAGGTCTGAGGAGGAGGGGTACGTTTGGGACTTGGGACTGGGGCTGTGGAACTGGGACCTTGAGACTTGTCTGGCCAGATGGTTGCTTTCGAGTCGACGTCAAAGGAAAGGCAGAATCGGAAATGGAGATGGACTAGAAGCACTTTAACAGCGTTCTTTACCGAGTCTCTGCTTGCCTTCTTCATGCTGCCTCTCCCCGTCTTCCGTTCGCTCGCTCTCTCTGTTACACCACACGCCTATCCTATCTTATCTTGGGTGCCGACTGTCACTTTCATGCCCTGAATGCCGAGCATGGGAGGAGGTATGCATGGCCAGGACCTAATCGATAGTACATTGTACATATCGCCCCGCTGCCGTGTTTTGTCAGCTAGCTAGCTCATCGACCCAAACGTGGTTTGAGTTTGAGACAGCAACACCGGATACCTGGAGCAGTCTCCGCCCATACCACGTACGATGTAGTAAACTACCTATCCGTACCTACCGACATTACATGTAAGCATTTGTAGTCCACCGAGTAGCATCCCATCCTGTCTCATATGTGAACATTACAGTACACAGACGATACCTTACATCATAGTAGCACCGCGTCCTTTGGCCATGTATGTATATGTACAGGTAAGAGAGAGCCGGCCCCCTCCTGTGTCTTCTTCTCCGCAAGGTACGGATACTCGTCGCATGACATGCCCTACCCTGCCTTTCTTGCTGCTGCTCCTTTGTCCTTCTTCCCTCGCTGGAGGAAACCAGCGGATCCATGGTTGTGACGGACAACGAACCGACTGCCCAGCCCACCACCACTTTCCATCCGTCCGTCTCCGCTCTCAGTGTGGCATGTCATCGGCTTACCTACCTACATACCTACTTTACTTGCTCGACTTCTGCTACTTTAAACTACTGTCAACATACGTATACCTACCCCTACAGATATCTGTACTATACGTAAGGTAGGTATGCGAGTTGGCCAAGATGCTACTTGCTTGCTTGCTTGGTGCCTGCGCCGCCCTTGGTACGTACCGTACACCCTGCGATAAGTCCGGTAAGTCCAGACAGCAGCCTAGGTACCTAGGTATCTAGGCCGGTACCTACCTACGGTACTGTGTAAGATGTCACTCTCTCTCCACGTGTAATTCCTAGTACTCCCAAAGTACGTACTATGTATCACCCACCTACCTCTCCAAAGTGGCGAACTGACCAGAAAGAACGCCTCTTCGTCCAAAGAAGCTTCCCTCTTGCATCATCTCTTGGCCAGTCCAACGTTGGTCCAAGGCCCTTCTAGACCTCAACTAAGCTCGGCTTGCTGCACATTACATGCCTTCCAACGAACAGGGCATCCTCCCTCCTCGCCGTCCGTTCCTCTTGACAAACCCCGATCGGCCAGCCAACGGCTCAATGCGAACCTGCGTCTGTCACGAGCTTGGTCTCTTCCCCTCTTCGACATCGTCGAAACTGGCGATGCGCCCCTACGCCCCTCTTCCAAGCACAGCCATCTGTCTGGCCATATCTGCAGCCTTCGGGCCTACCCCCACGTCGTTACGCCGACTCAAAGCCCTACCCCGCCATCCCCTACAGTCTACGCAAACACGGACGAGTTATATGAGCTAGGTATTCAGTGCTCGGGATGACACAGGCTCTTTGATCCCCATGGCCAAGCCATTGGGGGGAGGAGAAGGAGATGGTCCCCGTTAGCACTCTTCTTGAGCCGCCTCCCACCCAATCGACCTGACTAACTAACCATGGGCGGGTGGGTCCGGCATCTCAGACAATCGCATGAGCATCTCCCACCCGCTTCTTGTTTCGCCCTCTAAAAGCACAGAACTGTCCTGTTCTGGCCAAGGCTACGACCAGCGCTCTGCAGCCTGGCCCTGCCCTGCCATGCTGGTGGTCCACTCCAACTTTGTCGTCTTTCACTTTCCAGGGTACCAGGGTCGTTTGCTCGAGCTGTTGGCTATCCTGATAGTCGATGTGCTCGGACAGCCTGCCAACGATTCTGCAGTATTAGTAGGCTGAGTTGGATCTCGACTCTGACTGCCACGTTGGCCCACGGGGCCCAAAGAAACAACGGGGAGCCTCATACCGCGAATGTTTTGGGCACCTCCGCCAAGTGTGTTCTCATAGAACGTACCGTGTCTTAGAGGAGGAGGGTAAATGACTGTATCCGCAGTCCGCTCTGGACGAAGGAGGGAGGGGGCCTGTGTGCCTATGCCCACGACCGTGACGCTTCGGGTTGCTATTCTAGCCATGAGACTTGGCTTCCCAGCACTGTGCACGCCGGGCCTGCAGCTCGTGCCCCTTGTTTCTCGTTGGCGTGACCATGAGGAAGCAAGCTTGCCAGTCCCCTACGCGGCAGTCACATTCAGCCCTCAACGCCAGAGGCTTCGAATGGCGCGTCTCAGTCTGGGCCTGGGTGGTCTGCGCAGCGGCACCGTTGCCAGTTCTTGGGAGCGAGAGGCGTCGTCGGTGGCGTGAAAGGTCGACGCCGCGCGTCCTTTCGAAAAGCGGACATGGCCGAGAGGCTCGACGGGCTCTGGGGGAGCGCGCTGATGACCCGATAGTCGCTCCTCGGGTATGAACTTGATGCCTCTCCCGGTTTGTCAGAAGCCGCCCGAGATTTGCATCATGACAAGTTTTCTACGGCATATGTATGCATCACAGACGGACCGGTTGGGCCAATGAGAAACTCGCGAAAGGATCCGGTCCGGATTCCGGAGGACGCTTCACTCATATGCCAAGGTTGTCGCCATTGGACTGGGGCTCACAAATGATAAACCAAATGGGCATAGTCCCCTCGGGACAAACCTCTCGTGCATGCACCTTCGCGGCTCATCCCTTAGCTGGTAGGCGTTCGTGGTGGAGCCCTTATCAGTCCAAGAACCCGAGTACCGGTACCCCGGAAAATCACTTTGTGGGTTTGTACGGATCGGGGCGGCTCATTGGCCCTGTTCGCTAGGTAGACTACGGCAAATAACTCCTGGTACTACCTCCGACCATCATGGATCGTCTCCCCTATCCGCGCCGCGAGGCTACCAACGGCGCTTTCTGAGATTACCAACTGGGAACGCGGCGATTCATCCTCGGTACCGTTTCCCAAATCCACTCGACTGTTTGGCTTCACGATTGGACGCGACTCATCACGCATGGTGTTCTGCACTTGCGCCAATCAATGACTACCTGCCTGCATTGCATGGATGGTTCTTCACGCGGGGGGCGGGGCCCAGGAGGACTACATCGTCGGCCTTCCCTGTGATGAATCTGTCGAGACAAGGGAGCCTTGGACACAGATGCACAAGAGGCGAACTCCCTCCCGAAACCTCATCCCGCCAGTGGTTTCTGGTGTCTGGAGAAACCTTGCAGGGGATGCGCGAAGCTTGGTGCGGGTTCGGCGCCGTGGCTGAGAGCACCGGAAGTTCGTGTGTCATTCGTCCTCCTTGCCTGGATTTGGAGTCGTCCGCTCCCGCTGCCCACGCAACGGAAACGGAAGAAACCAACGGGGAGAGCATCGCATTGGGCTCTGGGAGGGCAGTGGTCGGAGCAAGGCTGACTTGATCGACTTGACTGAGTTAGCCGGCTCCCCCACTCACGCCCGTTATTGACACAGCCGAGAGTTGTTCCATAGCATGGAACGACGATTGGAACCCGTCGTAAAGTATCGTCGCCACCATCGATCCGCGCCGTGCACGTGTCAGTGACAGGCGATCGAAAATTGTTTTGCCTTTCTTTTCTTTCGCAACCACACTCGGATGCTGACGGGCAGTAGGGGAAACCATGAAGTCGGAGGGTAAAATAGCAGGGCGAATGGGGTCCGCCGTGATAGTTTCTTGGTCCCCTCCCCGGCCACAGATTGATCTAACTAGGTACGGGGTAGGTAATACACAGGGCACGGTGTAAGTCGAACCATTACCGGTGCGTGCATCTCGATGGTTCAAGGGCATGTTGGGAGGACTCACTCGGCAGGGTTTCGAACCTTGCGGAGGCGGGGAGTAGGATCCGTACAAAGCAGTACAAAGTACCACCCACACACGTAGAGAAGGGCAAACTCGTCGGTCCTCCGGTTGGTGTGTGGCCTTCGTGCAAAACACTGCCACGGCGGACCCTGAATGCGATGTGGGTGAGAGATGTGATGGATGCCCAGACGTGAAAAGACACGAAAGGGGGATAAGGAAGAGCGCAAAACAGGAAAACTGCAAAACAGGGGAGGGACATGGATCGGGTAGACCAGGTAGTATCTGTATATTGTGATGAATGGAAGGGGGTGAGGGGCAGATGGAAGAGAACATGACCATGGAACACTTGACAAATGCCTTCTCTGTTTCCCTTCCAGGATGGAGGATGACACGCGGCGTGGCGGTTCTCGACGGCTCGGAGTTTTCCCTCCCCCCTCTTCTTCTCTCGGGCTTCCTACCGTGGTGCCCCCTGTGGGGGAGAAGGGAAATGAGCTGAGTGGCTGTGCGCGATTGAGTTAAGTTGCGGCTCATCAGGGCGAGAAACGCCTGCGAGGGAGATGAAGAAGGCAATCTCGACGACGAGAGGAGGGGAGGGGAGAGAGAGAGGGACAAACTGCTCCCCCATCTACGCCGACATCGAATGTACATTGTAATGCTTGGGCCCCCCCCCGGCAGTTGGTTATACGATGGTGTCACGACGATCGTACTCTACTAGGTAGTACAGGATAACCAGCGAGACGGAGTGTGGGCCGCGGAGCTTTAAAAGGTAAAAGCCATTCCATCATTTCACGCCACATCCGACGGACTGAAGATACTCTGAGTGTGTGAGTGAGGGGATGAGTAAGTGTTTGTGAGTGGATAGATAGAGAGATAGAGAGAGAGAGAGAGAGAGAGAGAGAGAGAGTTTGTGAGTGTGTGTGTGGGTGAGATGAGATGAGATGAAAATTTTCCAATGAGCCGCCCCAACTACGGCGCAAGTACAGGTATGTACCTCAGTACGCGACCGAGCCCGTCAAACTATGAACAACAGGGAATATCCAGTTCTCCCTTACACCTCTTGTTCAGCTGCACTCCTCCTCTTCCCATACCTAGCCTTCTCCTCTGCTCCGCTGGTCCACCTTTGCCGCCCGCTCCACCGGCCCCTCTCCATACAACATGCCTAGGTATCCGTACTCCGTACAGGTATGAAAGACAGGTAGGTAGACGCTTGGCCCGTGGCCCACACGTCGTGGCGGTCGAGGGTTCCGCTGTCGGGCCGCAATAGAAGGGCATGACGGGTTCGCCACCCGATGGCCCATCGTAGTTCCCAGTAGTTGTAGTGTCCACCACATACGCGACGCGAGTGTTTCGTTGCAGCGGGCCAACAGAAAGGGAGGGAGGGAGGCACGGGTGAGCATGAGGGTTTGGCGGACGGCGATGGCAAGAAAAAAAAAAGAAAGAAAGAAAGAAACCAAAAAGAAGCCCGGCCCGTGGGTAAATTTCCCGATCGGTCGGAACGGGGGACGGCCGAGGAAGTAGTTTATTCTTTCTGTGTTTGTACTATGTATGTGTGAGTGGGTGGGTGAGGTACCGCCGCCATGGGGGGAGGGTTCGGGGTTCTCTCTCCCCGGGGCGGGCGTGTCTCCTTCCGTCTTCCGCTCCGTTCCATTCTCTGACCGCCCGCATCCCCCTCCCCGGCTGGGAACCGTTTTTGCAGCAGAACGGGGGTTTAGTTGGCGGCAGTGGGCGAGGCGTGGGGGCTGGAAGGATGGATGGCTCCAGACCCCATTTAAGAGTTCGCCGCGCACACAAGTGTAAAACCAGGTGGGCACGAAGCAGGCTACGTTTAGTTTCCATACCGCCCCGTGTAATGATGGTATGGTGTCTCGCGCGTTTGGAGGCGGTACGCATACGTATACACTATACTCGGTAGTGTAGCATGAATTCGGTACACATGCACTTACTCTGACCCCAATACCCACCCCCGAGTTGTACTCCCCTCCCCTTCTGGTGGCGAGGGTAAAGACTGGAAGAGAGTGAGAGGGAGAGGGGCACCAGTGAGAGCGAGGGGATGGAAATCATGGGATCAGGAGATTGGAAAGGGGGGTGGCGGATGGAGATGGGGATCTGAAGATTGACAGTATGCATCTACCTATACACGACACGGCATGACATGACGATTTCGCAAGTATTCGTACGATGCGCAATGGGAAAAGAAGCCTTTTTCCTTGTCTCGTTTATCCTCCCGCCCAAACAGTGGTCACGGCACACGGCAGGCTGCAGCTCGCATACCAGAAGGTCCCGCCTGCAACCTCAGAGAAGGGAGGTAAACAAGGTAAAGGTACATATTCTGCAGCCAGCTCGGTGGTGGTGTGACTTGTCGTTCTGCAACGGTCGCCATCCGGCCGCTCATCCCCGCCGCCTACTCTGTGTACATAGTATTACATAGTACGGATATACCAACCAAGTACACTCACTACCTAGCCTACCGTAGGTACTTACTTGTACCTGGCACGTACTGTATGTACACCAGGTACGTACGACGTATGCCATTTGCCATTTGCCATTTGCCATTTACCATTTGCTTTGCCTTGTCTTTCCTTGCCTGCCCGGTCTTCACTGTTCCTGCCTGTCCTCATTACCTACCCTATATAGTACTTGTACGTAGTAGTAGATAGGTAGGTATACACCTCCTAGGTGGCGTAAAGACAGCAGCCGCCCCCTCCGAAAGTCCCAACGCCAATCCCTAAACAGGCTTTCCCCAACTCCACCTCTCTCTGCATCCATCTGCATTCGTCCATCCACCACACACAAAACTTCAACCAACACAGGCAAAGCAAACAAGCAAACAAATAAACCAGCCGTCGACCAAGCATCTAATTGACGGGGGCCCTTTCAACAGTTCCTCTCTCAGAGCTCTCCTTGCCCCCCTCTCCTCCCTCCCCCACACCGGGTGCTTCGCCTTTCCTTTTCCTTGGACTGGCTCTCTCTCTCTCTCTCTCTCTCTCCCGGTAGCCCCGTCCCAACTAAACTACCTAATTCACCCATCCATCCATCCATTCATCCAACCATTCCATCGACATCCTTTGGTCGTCGTATTTTTTCTTTTCTCCTTGTTTTTGGTTTTGTTTCTGGATGCGACAACCAACGGCAACAACCCCCCCCTACTCACTGTTGCAGCAAACAATCGTCTCGCAGTCCAAAAGAAGCCTGCCCATCACCCTCTACGTCAGGTCAGCCAGTTTTGGCCGCGACATCATTTCAACCACCCCTGCGCATCTTCCCCGGCGACCCGCGACCGCACCAGCATCACCTCCACATTCGGCATACCCGTCCTTTGGAGCTGAAGTCAATTCCACCTCACCTTGGTTAGCCCTCCCGCCCGCGCGACGACCTCCGAGCACGAGCACGAGCACAAGCACGAGCCTCCTTCGTCCCTCGCCCGCATGGCCCGCGACGACGCATTCCACTAGAGAGTTGCTAGAGAGCTGTGGCGACTAACCAGCCCGACACCTCCCCCACCAAACGCAACTCGCCCAACCGCCCGATATGGCTGCCTTCGTCTCCCAAGACCCCGACGAGGGCTACTCTGAGGATCCCCTCAATCCCGGCTTCGGCGCCTCTCAGGATGTCTCGTCTCCCTCCTCCTCAGCCGCCGCCGCCGCCGCCGCCCGCCCGCCCGCCGACTTGCCTGCCTGGCTGGTGAGACATATCCCCAGCCTTCCCGTCGCCGCCAGAACCGGTACGTCCTTCCTTTTTGCTTTCAACTGCACCACCACCTGCTGCTTGCTTCACAAGACCGGCGCGGAATCCATAATGAACTGACTTTGTCTCTTGTCAACAACCAGAGCTCGCTATAGCCCTTCTCGACAACCTGCCTACGTCAGCCGTTGTGCAAATCGTCCAGCGCCTCCACCCTCGCCTCTACATTGACTTCGTCCACTATCTCCCTCCAGAGGTCTGCCTGAAGATCCTCGCCTACCTCGACCCCATCTCCCTCGTCAACGTCGCCAAGGCCTGCCGCGCCTGGCATGAACTGGCCCTCGACCGTAAGCTGTGGGAGAAGCTGTACCATCTGGAGGGCTGGAAGGCCCTGTACCCCGAGATTCGCCTCTGGGAACAAAAGGTCAACGAGGGCCTGAACCTATCCGCCAGCTCCCTCCACAGGGTGCGCTCGTCCGAGGATGGCCACACGTACAAGAAGCGCGCCATATCCGAGGATAATGACCTCGAGATGACGGACGCCGGAGTTGCCTCGTCCACCGGTGTCAGGGAAGACTCCGTAAACTCTACCAGCTCCGTCTTTGGCACCAGCATTTTCGGCAGCCCCGCCTCGTCCTTCACGGGCTTCCCTCGGAACTCGGCCGCGCCCCAAGCAGGAGACATGGACGTCGACCGCTCCTCCTCTGGGCCCAATAGCCGGAGCGGAGAGAGGGGTTTCGGCGTCGATTCCAAGGGCAAGGGCACGGCCTCGCCCATGCTCCGCGCAGCCCTCGTCAAGGAAGAATCGCTGCCCCCCATGATTCCCGCCGACGCGCCCGGCGGTATTGCGCGGTCGACACTGTGGTCCTGGGACGCCCCAAGCGCGAGGTACAGGGTCAACTGGAAGTATCTCTACACGATGCGCCGCCGTCTAGAGCAGAACTGGGAGCTCGGCAAGTTCTCCAACTTCCAGCTACCGCACCCCGACCACCTAAATGAAGGCCACCAGGAGTGCATCTATAGCCTGCAGTACGACAGCGAATACCTTGTCAGCGGCAGTCGAGACAAGACGATTCGCATCTGGAGCATGCACACGCGCCGGTTGCTTCGGAAGCCGCTCGAGGGGCACACAGGATCCGTTCTGTGCCTTCAGTTCGATTCCGACCCCGAGGAGGACCTCATCGTCTCCGGCAGCAGCGACTCGGACGTCATTCTCTGGCGGTTCTCGACAGGCCAGATCATCCAGCGGCTCAAGAACGCGCACACCGAGTCTGTCCTCAACGTCAAGTTCGACAAACGGATCCTGGTCACCTGCTCCAAGGATAAATCCATCAAGATCTTCAACCGCCGGCCGTTGAAGTACGGAGATGCAGGATACGGCGACGTCGACGTCGTTTTCTCCGCCCCGACGCACCTGCGGAACTACGGCTACGCGAACCCCTTGGATGAGTTGCCCGTCAAGCCGCCCTACACCATGATTGGTGTCCTGGAAGGCCACGGCGCGGCCGTCAACGCCGTGCAGATCTGCGATAATGAAGTGGTCTCGGCCAGCGGCGACAGGAACATCAAGGTTTGGGACTGGGCCAAGCAGGTGTGCATCCGGACGGTCGTTGGCCATGGCAAGGGCATCGCCTGTGTGCAGTACGATGGCCGGAGGATTGTTAGTGGCAGCAGCGACAACGAAGTCAAGGTCTTTGACCGGACGACGGGTCTAGAGGTAGCCAGCTTGCGAGCACACACCAACCTCGTCCGCACCGTGCAGGCCGGCTTCGGCGACCTCCCTTACAGCGCCGCCGAGGACAGGGCTGAGGCGAGGCGCATCGATGAACAGTACTTCAAGGCGATAGAGGACGGAATCATCACCCCCTTCTCTGACCATAACCGGAGCCGCCGGGCCCAACCCCGCAATGCGGGCAGTCGCAGACCGGAAGACATCACGGCATATGGCGCCGCTCTACCCCCCGGTGGCGGCGGCGGCAAGTACGCTCGCATTGTGTCCGGCTCGTACGACCAGAGCATCATCATCTGGCGCCGCGACAAGGAAGGCGTCTGGAAGGACACGCAACACCTGCGTCAGGAGGACGCCGCCGCCGCAGCCCAGGCTCAGGCCCGCGCGACCTCACAGGCTCCTGCGGAAGTCATGCCTGCGGAAGCCATGCCTACGGAAACCGTGCCCACGGAAGCCGTGCCGGCAGCCCCGAACCAAAGTGCGTTGCGGCACCTCATAGCCTCGCGCGCCGCCCGCCAAGGGTTGCCCGCCGCATCTGCTAGAGCGGCGGCCGGGGCTGCCGTCCTGGCCGACGCTGCCCCGGCCTTCATGCATCTGATTGACACGGTCGTACCCCAAGGGCCGACCCAGCTCCGACAGGCCCTGCACAATCACCCGAATATGGTGGCCGCATACAGGGCTCACATCCAGGCAGCCATTGGCCGAGAACCGAACTCTCGGATCAGGGACGATCTCCGTGGCGTCCTGAACGCAGCGCTGTTGGAAGCCCATATCAACCAGTCCCGCGGGCTCGGGGGCAACCGCGAAGGGCCGACCATCGTCCCACCGGCGCTGCCGTCACTTGCTCCGGCGGCGGCTGGTACAGCGGCTGGTACATCCTCGGCAGCGAACGTGCCGCAGGTGCAGGGACATTTGCACATTCAAGGCCAGGGGCAGCCGGCACAGCCGACGCAGCCGGGCGCGCCCATACAGGCGCAGGCGACGCCGGTGCCGGTCCAAGGAGCGCAGAACGCGATCGTGCCGGACGCGGTGCACCACCCGCACATCGCCAACGGCGACAACGGCCCGGCGAGGGTCTTTAAGCTGCAGTACGACGCCCGCAGGATCATTTGTTGTAGTCAAACAACTGTCATTGTGGGTTGGGACTTTTGCAATAATGACCCAGAGCTGGAGGAGGTCGCACGATTCTTTGGAACGGTTGAGTAGGCTTCCGTTTGCACGAAAGTGGTGGGGGGGGCCTAGGTACTAGTAGCATCACCGGCATAGCGTAATTATATCAGGGCACCGGGGCTTCCCGGACGTATTCACACGAAAGAGGATGGGGAGGTGCATTAGGAGTTTGCGGATAACAAATAGTGAAATTGGAGATTTTCAGTATGGTCATGATAAACCAGCTGTTTCGAGTGCAGCCGCGCCCCCCCTGTGCTAATGGAAGTGTGGATATGGGGAAAAGTAGACCAAAACGCCGTTCAACTCCTGCCATACGTCTTTCGTCGCCATCTTTCATCCCCATGGTTCGCGTCCCCTTCCCCCCCCCAAATTCCTTGAAGAGAAAATGTCCGTAATGCAAGGGCATCAAGAGAAAAAAAAGAAAGAAAGAAAAAAGAGGAGAATTGGAGGAGAAGAGAAAACGACCAATACATGTGGTTATAAGAAATAAAAAAAACCCGTTCTACACATCAACCAGCCACCTCCTTGACCTTGGTGCCCTCCTTGGGGGCCTCGTCGATAAATTCGGGCAGCTCCTCCTGCATGAAGCTGGGCAAGCCGGCGCCCATCTCGGGCTCGAGCTCGGCCTCCATGCCGAGGGCCTCGAGCTCGGCGTCGAGCTCGGCCTCGTCGACGTCGTCGGGGATGTCGTAGGAGCGGGCGAGGCTCTCCTGGATGTCGTTGCCGACGTCCATGAGGTCGGCCATCTCGTCCTGGAGGCGCTCGATCTTGTCGATGTCGACCTTGCCGTACTGGCGCTTGAGCTCCTTGTTGGTGGTCTGCAGGGCGTCGACGGTGGCCATGGTGTTCTTGAGGTTGTCCTGCATGGTCTGGGCCTGCTCCATGTTCCAGACCTGGGACTGGAGCTGGTCGCGCTGGCCCTCGTACATCTTGCGGCGCTGGAGGACCTTGAGGGCCTTTTGCTTGATGGCGCTCTTGCCGGGCCCGTCGCGCATCTTGGCGAGCTTCTGCTGGTAGGTGTTGAGCTCGGCCGTGAGGGCGGACAGCTTGACGTCGATGGAGGAGATGCGGTCGTCGATGTTGGAGATGGCCGAGTTGAGCGTCGGCTTCGGGCCCTTGGGGGCCGCGCCGAAAAGGCGGTTCATGGTGGGAAGAAGGGGGAGGGGTTCTTTGTGTCGTGCGCACGCGCGCGCGGGGGTGGTCGTGTAGGTATGTGAGCAGACTGGAAAAGGGTCGGTGGTGGCGGTGTCGGGGATATCGAGGGAGAAGGATATCGTCGTCGTCGTCGAGGGGTTTGCACCGCGGAGTCTGGAGGAGCAGGAGCTGGGACGTTGGGTGCCTGGGTGACGTTGCGTCGGTTCTGGTCATGGTACTGCGCCAGGCGGGTTTATCGATAGGAGCCCACCGCCCCGCGGTCGGGAGGTCAGAGGGGGGGGATGGTGGGTCCGGCCGGGTGGTGGTTGGATTGGTGAGTGATGATGATCGGACCAATAAATAGCCGAGATTCCGTGGCTTAGTAAGGTATCGAGGTACCTTCAGAGACTCCGGGACGAAATATCCAAGCTGATCGTAATGTGCGTGCATTATCGTCTGTTCACATTTGACATATACGAGTCGGGGTTCACAAATCTACTAAACGGCAGATGAACGACCTTAGTGTACCTACTTACTATCTGTACATTCCTGCGCTTGCTTGAAAAGATTCCTCTCACATTGTAAGAATTTGACCGTCGGCTTGGATCCCTCTGCTCTACTACATCGTGTGTTATGTCACTGCTTCTCAGTTCAAAAACCGACCAAGCGACGGCGATTTCCACGTTTGTCTTCTTTTGACGACGGCTTCCAAAGTGAACAGCATACCAACCGTCGTTTCTTCTTCTCTCTGCTGGGCGCTCCCGGGACATCCGGAACTAGGGCTTCTCCAGGGGAACTGAGCAAGCCGATGCGCACAGCCTCAGCTCAGGGGTAGTTGTGCGCGTGCACAGTGAGCCGTAGTTACATAATGATCTCCTCACACCCCCCTTCCTGGGGCATCGCGACAGTGTCGTATAATGAGCCGCCAAGATTCCATGACTAAAAAAAGGGTTTCCCCAGCCCGTTCCGCCTGGCACATTCGAAATATGCAACCGTCAGGGGAGAGAGCACCGGCTTTTGTGAACGGGGTCTTTCTGAACGGTTTATATTCTTTCCCATCTCGCCCCTGTTGACCACTTCCCCTTTCCCTCCCCGTGCCTGAACACCTAGATCTTGATGTAGCACGTGAATGTACTTTGTGACGCAGACGGGAGAAGAAGGAAAAAAAAACCCGACCTGCGAGGAGAAGCACGACATGCGACGGTCGTCGACCGAGGACATGATGGAGGAGGCCAAGTCGTGGACGGGGCAGGAGCCGCGCCGCGACGGGCCGGGAGAGGATGATGACGAGGGACACGTCGGGGCTGCTGGCAGCTCCGAGACGGAGGCGTGTCTCGGGGATGATGACAACGAGACACTTGGAGAGTCCTCGTCCGGCTCTGCGGCGTCGCTGCCTATCTATGTGTCGATGCATCGGTACTTTGCCCCTGTGATGCCCTTGACGGGCTGTTGAGCTGACTGGAGGTAGTGTACGTCGGCTCATCATTGCAAGCATAGGTGAGTGGTCGAGCCTCAAAAAGGGCTCATCATGGAGTTGACGACTGACTGCCCGCCCAGATGACCCCTATACGCTTGATCAGTTGAGCGACCCTAGGATGAATGTGCTCATAGTAAGACCTCTTGTCGAGCGCCTGTTCCACCCAAAGGACATCACCATCGGTACGTCGAGTCTGAGCCCCTTTGCGGGTCACCACCACCACTCACGTTCCCTCCAGTTTACTGCTTGCTGGCCAACCGCCTCTACTTCCTCCGCCAGCAAGCCACCTCGGTCCACCAGCCCGTCAACATGGCCCGCGCGACGCTCTGCGAGCTGGTCGCCACCCGCGTCCTCCGCCGCTTCCACGAGGCCAACCCGGGCTCCCAGGGCCTGCTCTTCCTCTCGCATATCCTCGTCGGTGGCTTCGATCCCTTCGAGGGCGCTCCCGAGGCCGTCGAGTCCGTGGGCCGCCGTCAGTGGGCCGTCCAGGCCCGCGACGGCCTCGAGCGTAAGCTCACCGCCCTCGAGCTCGCCATTCTCTCCGAGAGCAAGGCCTTCATCAGCTCCCCCGGCTGCCAGCGCGTCGTCAACGCCGTCTACGAGGGCCGTGTCGTCTATACCCCGCTGTCCTTCATCGACATCCTCCCGGACCACTACGAGTACCACCCCATCTCCCTCTACGACCCGCGCAAGGCCCCCATCCTCAACCACTACCGCCTCATCGTCCCGCGCTCCCGCAACTTCATCGAGTTTGTCCAGTTCCTCGTGCTCATGGTCCTCTACTTCCTCGCCATGCTCTACCGCCGCAGCAGCAACGAGGTCTTTGAGTTCCTCTTCTGCATCTATGCCGCCGGCTGGGTGCTCGATGAGTTCGCCGCCGTCGTCGAGCACGGCTGGGAGGTGCACGCGCAGAACCTGTGGTCCTGGCTCGACGTCACCTTCTCCGCCATCTACGGCGCCTACGTCGTCGCCCGCATCTACGACGTCGCCGCCGGCCACTTCCCGGACGGCCACGGCCTGCACATCCTCCCGCTCGCCGCGCCCATCCTGCTGACCCGCATCGCCTTCAACATCGCCCCGGACAACATCGTGCTCATCTCACTGCATGCCATGATGAAGGACTTTCTGCTGCTGTCCTTCCTCGCCTGCTGGTGCTTCATGGGCTTCCTGCTCGCCCTGCAGTGGCTCATCGACTCCAATGACAACTTGAACGAGACGCTCTCGTGGTTCACCATTGGCAAGTGGATGCTCTGGATCTGGTTCGGCCTCGACGGCACCGGCATCGAGGAATCGGTGCAGTTCCACATCGTCCTCGGCCCCGCCCTGATGATCGGCTTCGCCTTCCTGGGCAACACGCTGTTCCTGACCATCCTCGTCGCCATGCTCACAAACACCTTCTCCAAGATCATCGCGGACGAGACCGCCGAGGTGCAGTTCCGCCGCGCCGTCCTGACCTTCGAGGGCGCCAAGAGCGACGCCATCTTCGCCTACCCGCCCCCCTTTAACATCTTCGCCCTCGCGACGCTGCTGCCGCTGCGCTTCCTCGTGTCGCCCGAGACCTTCCATAGGGTCAACGTCGCTCTCATCCGTGCGCTGAACCTGCCGACGCTGCTGCTCATCAGCCTTTACGAGCGGCGCCAGTTCTCGCGGCGGTCGAGGGCCAAGACGGGCTCGTCGCTGCTGAGCTGGAAGTTCGCGGGCTTCTCGCCCCACGGGGACGTCCAGGCCGTGTTCGAGACGCCGCCGCCGCCGCACGTGGCGGACCTGATTGAGGAGCTGGACAAGCTTGGCGACGAGGGGGGCTCTGTCGCGGAGGAGGTCGTGCCCAGGCTGTCTTTGGACCTGAGCCGACCTATACGGTGGAAGCCGAAGCTACGGAATGATGTCCAGGAGCATGATGATTGAGGCGTTTAGGAGCGTGAGGGCTCAAAGGATGAGCCGCAGGAGCGGATGCTCGCTATTAGATTATGGTACCTATAAAATCAAACCCCCTTTTCACATGTCAGTGGTCACTAAAGCGTTGTTGGACCTTGGGCGTGATTGTCTTGTGATAGTGGGACGATCGGATCAAGGGAGGTTACATCGCGAACTACGAATGGGCCTTCTCTTCATATGGCTTCGACGACGGCATGTTTCCCTACGGCTGTAGCACTTAGTTTGAATCGCCGAACGGGTTGATGCTACACGGTGATGCGTGAGTGCAGGCGGTTCGCTCGGCAATGGAGAACCGGGAGGTTGACAGACGCGGGAACTGGGCTGGGAAGGGCAACTCACAGCCAATCTTCCAATGTGGCCATATAAAAGACAAACGGTGTTAAACGGCCCTCGGGCAGGGGCCCTGGGTTCTCATAGACGCACAACCGCGATTCCGGTGAGGAGGCGTTCCGTAAAATTTCGAGTTGCTTCCTCGGCACTACATCACGCAACTTTCACAGTCTAGGGATAAGTGTTACCGCGGCGGAATTATTGTCGTTAGACACCGGGCCTCGCGTTCTTGGGGAGCCGTGTCCCCCTGGGCTGTATCTCGAGACTATTACGATTGCGGCGCCGCTGCCGCTGCGTTCCGCAGATGACTAGAGGTAGGATACTTTCACCAACCGAGAGGCAGCGATCGGTCTTGCACCAGGTAAATGAGGCCAAGCTCGGAGTGGATGAGGGGCCGGGTTGATCCGCCGGGCTCGGGTTTCTCCATTTCGACGTAACTCTTGTTCCGTCGACGGCAGTCAAAAATGTCGCGTTGCCTGGTCGGTTATACTCTAAGATTGCAGTAGCTTGGAGAGTCTTAAACAACCTACACAGCGCGAAAGGCTCGTCGAAATATGGGGCGAAAGGCTTGCTGAATAAATCCATAGGGTGAACAAAACCTTACCACTTCCTGAGCTGGTCTGGGTTGGTTTGAAGTCGATAGTCCGGTCTGGAATGCGCTAGTGGGCTAGGATGAGCTTGTCATTCTAAGCTTTGAGGGCGATGGATATGGCCATCTGCAGGTTACCTGAATGCCATGTCACCGTCGTTGAACTTGTGTGTATGCATATTCAAAAGTTCATCCGCGTGGGGAGTGATTCATCACATGTCCTTTTGTTGAAAACCCTGCCTTTTCCTCGCTGCCAGTGACCATCCTTTCAACCAGACTTATCAAGTCTGAAGTAAAAATAAAGACTATAGATAACCCTGAACTTGGTGAGAGGGGCAGCCATCTTTTGTCGTTGTCTCGAATCTTATCACGAAGCTAGTCCTCCACACAAACCCTCATCCTAGAAATTACCTCTTAAATATCAAAAAGTGACCTTGCCATGTTCTCAAGACATGTTGGAGAAACGAGTAAGTATCTTGTAATTGTTGATGCAATTGATCAAGCTAGAGAGTTCACCTGGAGATGGAGTCAATTCTGCGTTGGATGCAAAAGTTATTGCCCGGAGCCGGAATACCACACGACGTCAGTTAGAAGCAGACTAGTCTCACAATAGGAAACCAACTCTTTCCGTGGTGGTAATGCATTTACTATTGTGTCCTTGTGCAACCCTGCGAGGTACCGCCCTGGATACGTATCTCAGTTCCAGTGCATATCCACTCTTACTACAGCCAACCCTGGCTTCTTCGTACGGTGCCTGAAAAAGTAACGTTTTATCTAGAAGATAAAGAGGGAGGGTTACTTGAGCTGTGATGCTCGACTGTAGTACCAATTTCGGCATAGGGCTGAAGCCAGTATGCAAGTCTCGAACCATTCGAGCATGCGATACGTCATTCTAGCCATTAGTGATAAGGTTAGTTGCCTTTTTCTATCATCTGAACGACACTGAGTATGTCCTCTTGGGTGATAGGGGCCTCCTTTACCCAGCCCGACTCAGCGGGCAAGTCTTTGTTCATTTTGTTATGGCTTTATAAAGAAATCAACAGAACGACTCTTAGTTTCGAAACTTACAGAAGTACTCAACTTGTGTTTTGTTTGCGTTACCGGCGTCATGTCGCCGAAAGCAATAGTAGGCACGGAAGCCTTGCCTAGACTGAAGTTTTCCGCAGACGCGATGAAGATATATATAGAGTTGGAAGCCTTGTGGTTAACCTGGCGAGCGATTCTGCCGTTAGCCAGTCGATTCGAATCGAGGGCCTCTTTGTTCCAGTACACTGGGGGCTTGTTGAAGATAGGTCGGTTGAAGATGTAGGTATTTTCATCTACGCAATTATCAACCAATCTTAACACGGATCCAAGTTTCAACGAGGTCACGGCACAATAACCAGCCTCAAGCTTTCGCCAGGCCGCAAGACATTGCCTTTCGGGCTGGATTAGAGGAGGGTGATTATCTCTACGCACACTCATTCGACCCTGGAGGGTTCCATTCATTAGAAAAGGTTCGTCAGATGTGAGGGTTATACATTTGGGCTTGGGCAAGAGGGACTCGCCGTGTGCTCAACCCTTCTTACGATTTATTCCGGGGTCGTCGGAGCGACTAACAAAGGTTCTATTCCCGCCCATATCAGACTATTGGTGGGAGCAACGTTACTCTGTCGGTTTCTACCGATTGTCCCGTCTAAATATCTCATTACCGTCATTTGCCCTCACCAGCAACTTCGCGACAGCGACGAGGGTAACACACCAGTCAATTCCTTTTCTCCAACTCTCTAGTTTCCGAACACATGTTTCATGAAGACCCTATATCTCATAATCATACAAATAAAAAGAAACATATATAGTATTTGTATCACGAGGCTAATCATATCCTAGCATCTCCTGTGAACATTTTCACTCTATAGAAACCCTGGAGTAATAGAAACACACCTGTGTGAGGCAAAGTCGTCATCATCAACCCCTGACGTCTAGTCTGAAGCCTTTGGCTCTTACACCTCAAGACCTTATCAGAACCAGATAGCCAATAGCGCACTGGTTCTCGCTTCCTGGCTTACAGCAGTGAACATGTGTCAGCCATTTTCCAAGTTCGTACGATACGGGCCTTCTGAACTGGATCGCGTTCTACTCGGGCTTGGTCTCGATATGATCTCGGACCCGGCCGCCTGAGACCGGTCACGAAATGCTCAAGAAAAGACCGCATGCAATATAGGGGCTTCGTATCTTGATGGCGGCATAACTACTAGCTTCGCTCGGCCCCTCTTGAATCCATTTAATACGCCATATCAACACTCCGAACTTGACCCAGTAAGCGGCATCCACGGACTTAGTCACCACCACAGTAATCGCAGTGTGCACGAGATGCCTACGATGCCGTACCCGAAAGCCCTGGGTATGGCTCTAAAGCACACCATAAGCCACATTGAGGACTTCCGCTCAACCTGGTAGTCTCATGGATGACATATGCTGACTGCACATAGTGTGATGGTCGAGCCACAGGGACATCTACGGCGAAGAATGTCTGACTTCTGAGTCCTCATCTGACATGATGCTAAACTAACCATGATGTTGGCGTGGACGCCATACGACCTCGCCTGATTAGGCTAGGCTAACAGTTCCAAAAACACCACCATCGTCGTATCAGCAAGTCTCAAGACCGCCCATCTTGCAACCACAACTCACCCTACCCTCCGCCCACTCAAGGGGTCTCTACCTGAGCACCGTGTTCCAACGAACTTAGCGTCCTGCTGTGTTTTTGCAATGGTCAAAATCCCGATTTGCGCTGAGAAATCATGATCGACACAAATCCCAGGAGATGCACAGCCCACGCGACCGGGTCACTAAACGACGGGACGGCTGACTGAGCAACTGTCCGAGATCGACCGATCTTATGCCTCACGAGGTGCATGACCAATACATTAGATGGACATTGTCAGCTTCCTTCCTGCTTACGTCTCGTTTAAATGGCGGCGACGATGCCCCGAACAGAAAGCGTAAGCTTGTGGCTGAAATGTTCACGATCCACCACACCACACATGTCCCTAAAACAAGTTGACAATATCATCAGACATCCCGTCCCGTTCACGTCAGACACATAGTAAGCAACACTCCAAGTTCGGAACTCCACTTGATGAAAAACCCGTGCTCTTACTGCTTTAGCATGTTAACTCGCCGCAAACCCCTAAGAAGCCGGTATACCAATCGAGCCGATATAAGCAGCCTCAGGCTCCGATCCCCATCTACCCCGGCGTCCGTAAGAATCGAGTACACAACGCCGGAGTTCCACCGCGTTGCACTCTCTCGGCCGGGACCATCTCTCATTAGCCCATAAGAGTGAGCGTAGAACCAATACTAGACTACTACACCATTAACGTCGTGCTGTCTGTCTTCCGCAGTGACATAGAGGTGAGTAATGGCAATGCATGGCATGGTCGATTGGAAATACTCACTGCCAGGCATCGATGCCCGGCTCTTACCGAGTACCGAAGGAGAGGTATGGAACCGGGCTCTATCCAGATCGGTTTCATACACGTCTGCCATCTGAATTCGTCAACCGCCAGGACGACTCAACTGATGGCGCATGATCCCTCTTCACAACCCAGTCGGGAAGTTCGAGGCGCGGGCTCCTACCGGAATTTTTTTGTACCGCAGACGGGATAACAGGGCAGTAGAGAGAATTACAGATTCGACCTTGTCGTGTCATAGAGTTAGGGGTGAAGTCAAAGCCACTGGCTCGCCCCAGTCTATCGCCGCCTCATCTACCTGTTGAAACTTAGGTAGTGCTTTTATTACTGGGATGTGGAGGCCATGCCGTTTTTCACAACAGGTATTAATTAGGATGAACAGAATAGACGAGGCAACATGTCAAAAATGTAACTTCAAGTTGCAAATGGACATGCAGGTAAGTCCACCCCGTCTGATGATGATACGCATCCACTCAATCAACCCGCGGGATCAGATAACAACAACACTCCGTAGGTCGTACCTTTGGTTGCTTGTGTATCGTATGATTGAGCGTTCATCTCGATACATAGTATATTGCGTGGAAAGCTCCGCGCCA